TATGTAAGAGTGGCACAAACCGGGGGCTGGAGAGATGGCTCAGAGGTTAAGAGCACTGACTGCTCTTCCAGAGGTCCTGAGTTCAATTCCCAGCAACCACATGGTTGCTCACAACCATCTACAATTCAATCCGGTGCCCTCTTCTGGAGTGTAAACAGAATACTGTATTTGTAATAAATAAATCTTTAAAAAAAAAAAAAGAGTGGCACAAACCACCATAGCTGACCCTTCCACATCAACCAAGAAATATGACCCTAAGGCAGCGGTGGCACAGGCCTTTAATCCCAGCACTCAGGAGGCAGAGGCAGGTGGATCTCTGTGCGTTTGAGGCCAGCCTGATTTACAGAGCCAGTTCCAGGACAGCCAGGGCTACACAGAGAAACCCTGTCTCAAAAAATAAAAAAATAAAAATAAATAAAAATAAAAACCCTTTCTTTCTTAAAAGGAAGGAAGGAAGGAGAGAGGGGGGGGGAAAGGGAGACTCCCCATCTTTGGCAATCTAAAGGGAGCATTTTTTTTCTGCTGAGGTTCTCTCTTCTGAAATGACCCTGGTTTGTGTCAAGTCGACAAAAGAAACCTCACTAGCACAGGGAGCACATAACCGATACCTGCGACAGCACCTAGACAGCCAGACTCTCCACAGCAGACTCTGCTTTCTTCATGGAGGACTCAGTCCTGAAAAGTGCCTTTAACTCCAGCAGTTGGAGCTTAGCAGGCACCCGGGCTACAGAAAGAGACCCTGTCACAAAACCCAGATAAGAAGCAGAGGAAGGCACTATAACTGTGGGCTTCACTGAGCTCCCCAGGACTGAGGCTTCAGAAAGAGACCCTGTCACAAAACCCAGGTAACAAGCAGAGGAAGGCACTATAACTGTGGGCTTCACTGAGCTCCCCAGGACTGAAGCTTCAACTGTCTTCCGGTCTTTGTGTGCAGTTTCTCAGGCTGGGTAGAGGCCTCTTCTACATACAAGTGAAGGCACACGGAGTAGCCTGACTTCTCTTGAAGGAAACTATTGTCTGACTCGGCATCCCAGTCATCACAGGACGAGACCATACCAGGGGTGGCGTAATTGGTGGCAAATGGGCTGATCACACAGCATACCACCCCCATAAATCTGGGGACGTGGTGCCTTAGTTAGGTTTCTCTGTTGCTGTGATAAAGCCCATACCAGGAGCAACTTGGAAAAGAATAAGTTTAGTTGGTTCATACATCCTAAAGACAGTTTAATGGTTCCAGACCTCTGAAAAAAATGGAGCTGCTTTCTCATACTTAGACCCCCAAAGGTAGGCACAGCCTTGTGACACGGGGGTGCAGCAGGAAAAGTCTGAGATGAGAAATGTAAGTCAAATTTAGAAAATGCATTATTTATATGATGTGGCTTCTCTTTCCGAATTACAGCATCCCGGCACGCAGATGGCGTGTACCTGTAAATTCTAGCACTCCAGAGGCAAAAGACAGAAGGGTCCCAAGGTCAAGGCCAGCCTAGGTTACATAAAAAGACCCCGTCAAATGAGGAGGAGCAGGGGGGGAGAAGAGGAAAAACAGCGGGGCTGGTGGGAAAACAGCAGCAGAAGATGAAGGAGGAGGAGAAAAAGAAGCTGGGTTTGGTGGTGAACACACGCCTTTCATGCCGGCACTTGAGAAACAGAGGCAGGAGGATTGCCATGAGTTTGAGGCCAGCCTGATTGCATAGCAAGGTCCAAGTCAGCGCTAGAACCACACAGCAGGACCCTGTCCCAAAAGGAAGGAAGGGAGGGAGGGAGGAAGGAAGGAAGGAGAAGGGAAGGGAAGGAGGGAGGAAGGGAGGGAGGGAGGGAGGGAGGGAAGGAAGGGAAGGAGGGAGGGAGGGAGGAAGGAAGGGAGGGAGGGAGGGAGGAAGGAAGGAAGGAAGGAAGGAAGGAAGGAAGGAGAAGGGAAGGGAAGGAGGGAGGAAGGGAGGGAGGGAGGGAAGGAAGGGAAGGAGGGAGGGAGGGAGGAAGGAAGGGAGAGAAGGAGGAAGAAAGGAAGGGAGGGAGGGAAGGAAGGGAAGGAGGGAGGGAGGGAGGGAAGGAAGGGAAGGAGGGAGGGAGGAAGAAAGGACAGAAGGGAGGAAGGGAGGAAGGAGGAAAAGAAAGAGGCCCTGAGGAAATGGCTCAGGCTAAACTCCAGCCACCCAGGCCTGAGGAGAAGCACAGCAGTGCACTTCTGCAATCCCAGCACTCCGCCAGTGAAACGGGGAAAGACAGGAAAACTGCACAGAAGCTTGCTGCCAGCTAGCCTAGAGAACACAGGCCAGCGGCAGAGCTAACAAGTGGGGCTTTGACTCAACATTGCTGCTCCCAGAAGCCCTCTGATCCCCAAACACACACTATGGCACCAGCACACCTGTACACCCACGCACCGTATACACACATCACACACACTCACCATACACATACCACATTCATATACACATGCTATGTCCGCATATACGCACATGCATACACAAACAAAACCAACAATTTTGCGAAAAGCAGAGATTTTGTGAGATGCCATGATTAGAGCAACGTGTGAAGGAAAGTGTTTAGTTGAGGCTGAGGACTCCAGAGGATCACTCCACACTCTTGGAGAGAAGGCATGGTATCAGGGACAGCTGGGAGCTCACATATGCAGCTACAAGCTGAAGGCAGAGACAGCCACTGAGAAAGGCACCAGTTTTCGGAAGCCTCAAAGCCCGATGAGGCCATGCCTCCTAATCCTTCCCAAACAACTCCAGCAACTGAGGTCAAAGAATTCAAACACAACCTGGCCCGCGCCTCTAATCCCAGCACTTGGAAGGCAGAGGCAGGCAGATCTACAAAGGGAGTTCTAGGACAGCCAGAACTGTTACACAGAGAAACCCCTGACTCAAAAACCGAAAAAATTCAAACATATGAGCCCATGAGGGACATGCTCATTCAAACCACTACAGTCAGCTCTTGAGATGTTGTATTTCCAATGAAAAACAATGTCTTTTAGGCCATTAGCAAAAAAAAAAAAAAAAAAAAAGTTACATCTCTATTAGCAGTTTGATAGGGAAAAGAGAAATGTCATTCACAGACACCACCAATTCTCTGAGATTTCTTCTCATTCCCCAGTGCTCAGTCTATTTTGGGGGGGACGGGGTGATGGTTTGAGGCAGGGTTTCTCTGAATTGTATTGGAGGCTGTCCTGGAACTCGCTCTGTAGACCAGGCTGACCTCGAAATCACAGAGATCCGACTGCCTCTGCCTCCGAGTGCTGGGATTAAAGGCGTGCGCCACCAATGCCCGGCCCCAGTGCTCAGTCTTCCCTGGCCCCCAAAACCTTGTTTTTTCATGTCTGTTTTTTAGATGATATGAATAAAGAATAACAATTTAGCCGGGCGTTGGTGGCGCACGCCTTTAATCCCAGCACTTGGGAGGCAGAGGCAGGTGGATCTCTGTGAGTTCGAGGTCAGCCTGGTCTACAGAGCGAGTTCCAGGACAGCCTCCAATACAATACAGAGAAACCCTGTTTCGAAAAATCAAAAAAAGAATAACAATTTTAACACATAGCCATGTCCTTTCAAAATCCAAATTCCAAAAGTACTTATAAAAATAGTAGCATAAAGGTATTGAAGCTTTACTTTGACCCAGGCATTTTCATATTTAATCATTACAACAACCCTTTAAAGTCATCAACTGTCACTGCTCTAGAATCTCACCAAGAGTCATACCCTATGTTCTGATACCTGCCTACAAAATAAATAAATAAAATAAAACAACCCAGTCAGTCTTCTATCATGACAGACCTGTAAGTGGCAGTGATATTTATTGTTTCAGCACAAGCCAGTAATTCAACATAAAACTAAAATACAAGAAATGCAAAGCTTAGGCTGGGCATGGGGCACAGGCCTTTAAACCCAGCACTTGGGAGGCAAAGGCTGGCAGGTCTCTGTGAGTTCTAAGCCTTCTAAGCCAGCTTGGTCTAGATAGTGAGTTCCAGGCCAGTCAGAGCTATGTAGAGACTTTCTCTGAAAAACGAAATCAAACAAAAAAGAAGGAAAAAGAAAGGAAACTTGCGGTAGGTGGCAGCACATTTCCACAGCTGTCAGCCACACTCTTTCCAGAGATAAAGTCAAATCTCTACTACCCAAATACAAACCAGGCGTCTAAGTATCCAGCTAACACGGTTGCCCATATGTGGCCCTATAATTATTCTATCTGATGATTATGCAGGGTCCGCTTCTACAGCCACGAGGTTAAAGACGAAACCACAGCGGTGCCAAGCGCAGCTGCACCCCGAGGCCTTTTTAATGCCGCGCATCAGCACTTCGGAACATTTAGCATAAAACTCTTCATTTGCATTCCAAGGACCAACCATACCCAGTGTAGCGTTGTTTAAAAGATGTAAGTCGGACTTTCAATTCCCTAGCGTTTAATTCAGCTGTCACCTAATAAATTCGCGATCTTGTACGCGTTTAACCATTAGGTTTGTAGCAGAGGTTTGTGGGAATTCGGTGTACTATGTGGAAGCTCTTATCCGAGAGCCTGGAGCACACTCGGAAAGACAACTGACAAACGGAAGAAAAAGTAAATCAGTTAGGCTTTATATTTATTAAACTGCTAAGCATAATAACTATTAGCTTTCATTACGCCTAAATTTCACTGATCACCTAAATCTGATTTTTGTTACGGTATTCTCCCGTTTTACCCGGGGAAACCAGCCAGGGCTCAGAATTCTCTAGCACCAAAGGAAGACAAAGGAAGTCAACACGTTGTCTTCACCTGCCCGCCCAACTCTCAGCCCCGCCCCCGCCCAGGCCTCTGCCCCGCGAGTCCCCGCCCCCAAACCCGCCCCTGCCCCGCTGGTCTCCGCCCCCAGGCCCGCCCAGGCTTGAGACCACGCCCCTTCTGGTGACTAAGCCCCTCCCGCGCACGGCTTCCGTCGCAAAAAGATGTACATACAGATCGCTTATTGGCTGCCAGCAGACGCCTCTTCTCATTAGTTGACACCGTCCGGGTCGAAGTTCCAACGGAAGACGCTTCTAACTACTTGGTCCGAGGGTCACAGACACTTGCGCTTCCGCTTCCGGTGTGTCCCGGAGCCATGGCTACCGCCAGGGAGGTGAAGCTTCTCCTGTCTTGCTGCAGACCGCGCCGCAGCCTTCGAGCATCCCAGTCCCGGGTAAGTGCGTCCTTCCTCTGCTGGCAGGGCTGCGTGCGTTTCCAGGAGGAGCGGCCTCGGCGATGCCTCCCGCAGCGGCCACCTGCCACCCTTCCTGCTTCTTTCCCGGTCTGCAGGCCTTCGCCGCCCTCGTGCCCGGTGTGTCCCAGGTAGACAACAATTCCGACTTTCTGGGGAAGAAGCCCCATCGCAAGCACCCCGGCATCCTGCGTCTTCCGCACGTGCGGCTGCCGCAAGCGCTGGCTGACGCAGCCCAGTTACTGCTGCTCGGTGAGGAACTGCGGGAAGGGAGGAAGGGAGAAACCAAAGCAGCAAGCGAGGCCGGCACATAGTGATGTGTCTTCCCGTCTGCGGCCACAGAGAGACCCGTCCCCCGCGTGGAGAAGCAGGTGCAGGCACTCACCAACTACCTCTGGAGCCGACATTTGCCAGTAGAGCCCGAGGAGTTGCAAAGACGGGCTGCGGATCTGGAGAAAAGATTCCTGGAGAGCCAAGGTGGGATTTAAGCCCAAAAGCGAACCGTACTGAAATGTCAGTGAGGAGTTAGGAGCAAGGGATAACAAATCTCTCGGATAAATGCTGCCGTTGTTATCCGATGCTCCTACACTAGAGGGTAGATCGGACCAGAGGTTGCCCTTGGAGATTGGATAAAGTCAGAAATTTAGATGTTCGGGTTTTTTTGTTTTCTTGATTTTTTTTTTCCCTACCACTTCAACTCTGATAGACTATGGCTATATGTTGATTCAGGTAAAACAGAGGTGGTACGGGTGGCTGGCTAGTAAGTACTGACATCCACTTCAGGAGTAGAAACTTATTACATTTCAGATTGTTTTCAAGATTGTGAACTGCGTATTGCAAATTTGCCCCTTATTCATCTTGTATTCCCTGCATGTCCTGGTTCAGAGGAGCTGTCTTAGTGCTCTATTGCTGTGAAGAGACACCATGACAACGGCAACTCTTAGGAAAGAAAGCATTTTAACTGGGGCTAGCTTACAGTTTCAGAGGTTTACTCTGTGGTCAGCATCTGGAAGAGCATGACTGCACGCATGTGGACATGGATTCCAACATCTGGACCTGCAGGCAGCAGGAAGAGACTATGGGTTTAGCATGGCCTTTTTTTTTGTTTTTTTGTTTTTTGAGACAGGGTTTCTCTGTGGCTTTGGAGGCTGTCCTGGAACTCGTTCTGTAGACCAGTCTGGCCTCGAACTCACAGAGATCCGCCTGCCTCTGCCTCCCAAGTGCTGAGATTAAAGGCGTGCGCCACCAACACCCAACTTAGCATGGCCTTTTGAAACCTCATAGCCTACCTCCAGTGACACACTTCCTCCAACAAGGCCACCTCTCCTAACCCTTTCAAATAGTGACCGAGCGTTCAAATCAGTGAGCTGGTGAGGGTGTTCTCAGTCAAACCACTGCAGTGGGTGTTTTCAGAGTTACTACGTGGCCCTGAGCTCAACGCGCTCATGAGACTTAGATTCCAAGCGTCTTTCTATTGGAGTATTGAAGATGTCTCCTAAGTGTAAAGGAAGTAAAAATGTCCATAGAGTTGCCCTTATTCTAGCTTTTAAATTTTTATCACATGGGCAGGAGAGATGGCACAGAGTAAAAGCACTCCCCACGGCACGGAGTAAATAAATGTAAAAGAAATTTTAGTTTTTTATCAGACTTCTGTTTACTCTGAAGCAAACCTTGGATAGGTTAAGTTGACTAAGGTCCTGTCAGAGGCGGGATACTATTCGGTCCACTCTGGATTGGTGGTGGTTTACTGTCTCCTGAGGTTTCTCTGGGTTTGGCTTCTCTTGAACATGGAGCGCTTTCTCGTGTGGGCATGGGGGAGGATTAGGTAGACCGTGTGCCACACTGGATCCGACCAGGTGTCCCGGGTCCTCACCTCCAGCCCTTCTCACCCTAGACTCGACTCAGACAGAGGAGAAACTTCGTGGGGCAGTACTGCAGGCCCTGCGTAGAACTACCTACCATTGGCAGAAACTCAGGTAAGGACTTGTAGAAGGGGTACAAGTTTCTTCTCTCTAAAGAGAAGAAACATTGAATTTGAGGAGAGCTAAGAGAATTAGTCACCTCTGTGTTTGAGAAAGCTCCCTGGACTGTTCTACGTTGGGAAGGGAAACCCAGAAGAGTCCTCTGCAAATTTTTCATTTCATAAACGTTCAAGCATGACTATGGGACTGGGTTTATTTCCTAGTGGGGGATATGACCGGTTTTTATTATTTATTTGCAGTTATAATGAAGAACTCAGTTTGATATACATGGCAGCAAGATTGGACGGTGGTTTTGCAGCGGTTTTCAGGGCGTTCCATGAGGTGAGTTCCCACCTGACCCTTTTATCATTGTTTTATCTGTAAATTAGTCTTTTGTGATAGGAGCTCTTGGGATGCTATTAATTATACTGCTTATCCTTTGGAAAAATTCTGTGACACTGAGAAAGGTTTAGCGTCACTGAGATGTTTCCTATCTCAAAGTATTCTTACTGAATCTTACAATGCATTCATGTCCCGCCTCTGTCTTTGTCCCCTAGCCTTCACTGAGGCCCTTAGTGCTAACTGACCTTTCTCTGGGTGTCATGCATTTTCTCCAGATCCAGGCTCGCGTTCCAGAGTTCCAGCCGCAAACGTTGATGGACTTTGGATCCGGCACTGGTTCTGTTGCCTGGTAAATAACTTTCTTAACCTTTGTGTACCACCTCGGTGTCAAGAAACTGGGATGCTAGAGAAAAGAAAGTTAGACCCACGATGCCGTTGCCCTTGGATTAGGCGAGGCAGAAGAAGGTGTTGGAGTTGGGGTCAGAGTCAAAGCAGTGCACATGAAAAAGGCTCCGCGCTTGGGTTAAAAGAGAAAGCAACTTAGTGTAGGGAAAAGATTTTACATGCCAATCAAAATTCTTTTGTCTACAAGTCAGTTTTTTTTAATCATCTGCCTTTTATTTCAGAAGTTGTGGATGCACTGAGAACATAAAATAACAGTTAGTTTATCTGTTTTAATGTAATGCCCTGATTCCCCAGGGGCAGGATTGAGAGCAGGTGGGTCTCTTGGAGGAATGACCATGTGGGTACTAGAGAGATGGCTCAGAGGTCAAGAGCACTGGCTGCTCTTCCAGAGGTCCTGAGTTCGATTCCCAGCAACCACACGGTGACTCACAACCATCTGTGGTCAGATTTGGTGCCCTCTTCTAGCCTGTGGGCATACATGCCAAAACTGTATCCATAGTAAATCATGTTTTAAAGAGAGGAATGACCACGTGTCATAAAAACTGGTGGTTTTCATCTCGCCATGTCAGGGCTGCTCACAGTACCTGGAGCCAGAGCCTCCGTGAATATATGTGTGTGGACAGCTCAGCAGCCATGTTGGGTTTGGCTGAGAAGCTACTAAAAGGTGAGACCAAACTCTAATCCAGGGATTTCCAAAAGTTGAGGGAGTTAGGAAGGTATTTTATTGGGACGTAGAGGAGAAGGTTATAAATTCAGATAATCTGGGCTTCTTCCTGTAATGCAGTGGAACCATGTTAGAGGTCTGTGGGACTCTGGCTGGTTGGATGGGGTTAGTGGGTCACCTGTCTAGTATTCCCTTACAGCCCTGCACCTCTCAGCTAGGGTTACCCAAGGCTTGTCTCCTGGTTGAGTGTAAACTTCTGGCTGCAAAGCTCATGTCTCCCTTAGCTGCCGCATCTTTCTTCCACAGGTGGCTCGGAATCAGGGAAGCCCTGTATCCCAGGTGTCTTTTTCAGACAGTTTCTACCTGTGTCACCCAAGGCAAGTAGCAAGTAAGTTATTCTCAGCTACAGCGCGGCAGGTGGGCAGCTGTGGCTTCAGCCTTGAAACCCACCATCGTGTGTTAGACGGCAAAAGAAGCAATAGAAGACATTTAAGACTAGACTCAGGAGCTGAGGCAGGAGGATCACCGTTAACTGGGTCCAGCCTGGAATGCGTAATGAGATATCTTGGGGCCAGGAGGATTTAGAGGCTAGGAATTTGTTGTGCTTTTGGGCAGGGTGATGTCAGGTGTGTTGTGTCCCCTGTCTTGGTCCTCAGGTCCAGTTTGATGTGGTCGTGTCAGCCTTCGCCCTCAGTGAACTACCCAGCAAGGCTGATCGAGCTGAGGTAGTTCAGACCTTGTGGCGTAAGACAAGCCATTTTCTGGTGAGTTGAAATCCTTTCCCCGTCAGGTTTTAAAGCAGCTTTGTGGTTCTGTGCCTTGTCCTCTGGTTGCCGCTTAGTGTTTTTCTCTTTTATAGCTCTCTGCACTTCCTTAGGGAGTCCAGCTGCCCCGCCCCCCTGCAGAGCTGCTGGTTTGTTTGGGGACCCAGAGTGCCTGCTTATTTCCTCTGCTTTAAACAGGTGTTGGTGGAGAACGGAACAAAAGCTGGGCACCGTCTTCTCATGGATGCCAGGAACCTGGTCCTCCAGGTGAGGCTCCTTGTCCTCGGTCCTCCGCCTTTCTTTCGTAGTTACTGGTACTGCCTTGGAGCTGGTGGCTGTCACACGTCCGTAATGGGGACTCAGCAAAGTGGCTGGCAAATGAGAGTTTCTAGGCCAAACCCAGCACAGTACCTGTTGCCCTGGGAGCTGGACATGTGCATGTCTGTGACAGAGCTCATGCTGCAGACTGCAGTTAAGTACCTCAGAGACGGGTGTTGCTTGCTCCTTTCCAAAACTGCTTTGCTGGGCTGGAGAGGTGGCTCAACCGTTAAGAGCACTGACTGTTCTTCCAGAGGTTGAGTTCAATTCCCGGCAACCACATGGTGGCTCACAACCACCTTGAATGAGATCTGGTGCCCTCCACTGGCATGCAGGCAGAAGACTGTATACACAATAAAAAAAAAATTGCTTTGCTGACTCCTGATTGAAGGTGTTGCTGACCCAAGGACCTTGTCTCAGTGAAACCATGTGAACCGATATAAATTTACTAGGGTTCCTGAGTGGAGGTTCCTGGTGGGGGAATGCAGTGCCAAGTCCCTGCCTTCCTGCCGTTGTTTGGCACGTTAGAGCTGTAGCCAACTGAACTCGGTGAAGATGGTTTGCCAGTACTGGAATTATTCTGAGGTCTCAGTTGGACTATGAGGATAGCTCCCACAGGGTCAGCTGTATTTCCTTGATTGCAGGGAAAAGAGAAGTCCCCTTTGGACCTTCAGCCTGGCTTTGTCTTTGCCCCCGTAAGTAGCACTCCCTCCTGTCCTGTCAGATCGTCAGAAGTGCAAGGGGGTGACACCCAGTCAGTCTCCTCTCCTCTGTCAACCGCTTCCGCCATTGATCGCCATGGCTTTCCCAACCCCTCACTCCTGTATTCCCTTCTTCCTGTCCCCTAGTGACTCGAACTTTTAAAGTCTTTGTTTCTGGGTACTTTTATATTTATTTTACTTTTCACTGTGTGTACGATGTGTACGTGGGCTCTGTGTACACGCTACAGCACTCCTGTGAAGGTCAGGACAGCTTTCGGGACTCTGTCCTCTCCCCTGTGGAATTCAGGGCGTCTGACTCAGGCCGTCGTTAGGTTGTGCACCAGGCACCTACCAGAAGCGTCCTCCCCCCAGGGTCCTCCCCCCAGGGCCCTCCCCCAAGGGTCCTCCCTCCCCCGGCCCCGGCATCACTGATGGATCCTCTGTGTGTTTGCAGTGTCCACATGAGCTTCCTTGTCCTCAGCTGTCAGCCTCCAAGTCCCTGGCCTGCAGTTTCTCCCAGGCTTACCACCCCATCCCCTTCAGCTGGGTATGTACTCTCCAGAGCGGTGCAACAAGAAGTAGCCTGGGGAAACAGGGTAGCTAGATGGGGGTGTGTGTGTGTGTGTGTGTGTGTGTGTGTGTGTGTGTGTGTGTGTGTGTGTGTGTGTGTATCTCTATATATGTATGTGTGTGTATCTATATATGTATATACTTATATATGTGTATATATACATGTGTGTGTTTGTATGTGTATATCTATACATATATGTGTATATCTGTATTTATATATGTATATACTTATATATGTGTATATATACATGTGTGTGTGTGTGTGTGTAGGGGGGAATGTGGGAAGAGCTGGAGAATTCTGGAATAATGTGGAGCTCTATGTGATTTCTAGAGTATGAGAAAGGACTTCAGGCATGTAAGGGGAAGGGAGCTAAAAGGTTTGTTCCCTCTAAACAGCCCCTATGTTCTTTTAGAATAAGAATCCAAAAGAGGAAACGTTCTCTGTAGTGATCCTTGCCAGGGGGTCGCCAAAGGAGACTAATCGCTGGCCCCGGATCACCCAGCCTGTCCTTAAACGGCCTCGTCATGTGCATTGTCACCTCTGTTGTCCAGACGGGAGCATGCAGCATGCTGTGGTCACAGCCCGTCGGCACGGCAGGTATAGATGTGACTGGCTGGGGAAACGTAACCAGGACCCGCACCCATGCTAACGCCTCCTTCCCGTGCGTGTGCACCCTAGGGATATGTATCGCTGTGCCCGCGTCAGCTCCTGGGGAGACCTTTTACCTGTGATAGGTCCAGCTGCGCTTCCTCCGTGCCCTGCTGAAGAGCCCGCCGAGAGCTGACAAGAGTGTACAGCCAGTGTTTCCTCCCATCATGCCTGCCGAGGCCGAAGCCCCCTGGTGTCCAGGAAGAGAGTACTGGTACCCCTGGGACTGTAGTTGTTTGAAATTTTTATAATAAATCTTTTAAGAACAGAAGTGAATTTTAATGATTCTTTAAAGATACAGGGGTCAGTTGTCGTGACCTATCTGTAATGAAGAGAGTGCCAAGATCTCAGGCAGTGAGATCTCACAGCTTCTACCAGATTCTTCCTTGAAAGATGGCTAGGGCGATGGGGTAAGAGCGCAGGTGGGCCCTGTGAGAGCTGCCTCAGCAGGTCTCAACCCGTAGTTACGTGGACCTCGTAAGTGGGAACGAGTAGTTAGCCGACTTCTTTACCCCGGTCTCTTCTCCAAGGTAGCCCTCCCTGGAGTTTTCCTCCTTTCCCTCAAGGTTGGTCCCTTCAGACCTGAGCCTTCATCTCTACCCCCATCAAGATCTAGTCAGAGTGCTCCCGTTTGTTTCCATCTTCCTGTTTCCCTTCCAGAGCAACAACAGGAAATACTAACAACCCCAAAACAGTCAGGAAGGCAGCCCCCCCATCTGTCTATCTCAGCGTAATTATGAGCTATAAAGGGAAGGGGCAAGTTGGTGACTTCACAGGCCTTGATAAGAATCAGAGTTCTTAGATTTCCTGGCACCGATGGACATCTGGTGGACCATTGTGCAACTGAGGTTCCGCACATCAAGTTTGTAAATTGTCCTGTTTGACAAAAATGACAAGGTTAACAGTTGATAATTATAGGAATAGCAACAGGGAGGTGCACAGCTTATCTTGACCGAAAGGAAGAAAGTGCACTGCCTGGCTTTTTTGTTTGTTTGAAGTCTGTGGGTTCCTTTAAACCTTAGGGAAAGAGAAGTGTAAGAGAAAAAACAACAATTTCACTGGCAGGCACAGTCACAAGTGGTGACAGGTGGGGCATAGTGGCCCATGCTTTTAATCACAGCACTGGAGACGCAGAGGCAGGTGAATCTCTGTGAGTTTATCAAGGTCTACAGAGTTCCAGGCTAGCCAGGGCTACGCAATGAGACCCTGTCTCAAAAGAAAAGAAAAGTGGCAGTGTCTATGTTGTAACACTAGGAATCTCCACTCCGCCTGGAAATTTCCATGCCTGGAGCTATTTTCCTGGAACTAGAGGAAAGGGAAAACCCTTTGCTCGCTAATTCCCACAGAAGAATAGCAGCCCTCTGCTCAGCCCCACCCCCTCTACCCTCAAGTGGCCCCAAATCCTCTCTGAAAGGGTTCAGTTCAAGTATCAGCACAGCAACCTGTAAGACTCGGGATAGGGTAGGCAGTGCGGAGGGCTTAGATTAAATGTCATGACTGTGGCAGAACCAAGTTGCCCCACATACGAATTACCTGGGACCTAACTACCCTAGATTGCCCCATTTGAGGTTAGATCAACCCCAGACATGAACTAAGACTCCTCAGAGCTCTTGGATTAGTCACAGCATTGAAGAGAAAACTTCACTGAGCTATACCTGGCAGGGAGTCTGGAGTTTCTGGTTTGGAAGCTCTGGAAGGCGTGTGGCAGGGGAGGGGCCTCGGGACAGTGGGAGGGCTGGTGGCTGGGGTTGAGCCCTAGTCAGCTATGCGGCAGCTAAGGCCCCGTGAGCCCAGACCGGCCAGGACAAAGAGGCCATCAGCAGTCTCTGGAACTCACCCAAGGGGACGCTCCACTTTGGACACCTCAGCTGCTACCGGCTGCATTCGACATCCTGAGGCCGCTTCCCATCCTACACCCCAAAGATGGAGGTGCTGCTGGGAGTGAAAATCGGCTGCCTGCTGGCCCTTCTGGCTCTCACACTGGGCTGTGGCCTTGTTCCCATCTGCTTCAAGTGGTTCCAGATGGATGCAGCCACAGGTACAGTCACGCCAACCAAGGCTCGTCTCAGGCCTTTCCCCACACCCGGCTTGGGTTCGCATGCGCCTCCCCCAAACTCACCGGGTGCCGTCTGTGGCTCTCCCCATTCATTCCCACGTCTCGTTGCCGACTGGAGGGTAACTTCTGCTTCCCTACCAGGTCACCACTACCGAGTTCTCAGCCTCCTGGGCTGTGTCTCTGCTGGTGTCTTTCTGGGAGCAGGCTTGATGCATATGACTGCTGAAGCCCTGGGGGGAATTGAGTCGGAAATTCAGAAGTTCATGGTGCAGGTGGGTAGCAGAGACACCGAGTGACGGGGCTATGGGGTCGGAATGGTAGCCAGGAGCCTGGGGAGACGGCGGGGAAGGCCCAGAGCACAGGGCGCGTGGGACAGCAGCTGTTGGACAGAAGATGGAAGGTGGTCAGGCTGGGCGTCCAAGGGAAGCTTGGTTTCGGAAAGGGCAGGACAGGAGCTAGCGCTGCCCCAGACTCAGTCTGATTTCTGTTTCCGTCTCCCTAGAACAGTACAGGAAGTAAGGGAAACTCTTCTCAGGATGCTGACTCCAGCTACGTAAGTGTCTGCTATTAGCACCTGCCTGTCTGCAGGGCGAAGAGAACCAGGGCTCTTCATGCCCTTCTGATATGTGAAGAGTGCCAGGAGTCTCTTCTCAGAAGGGGCCCACCTAACCCTTCCTTTGTGGACCCTCAGAAAAAGTTGTTGCCTTACTCTGCCCTCCCTACCCTGGAGCCTCTTTATTTCTAACCCAAGCTGCGTCTTGACCCTCAGCCCCTCCTGTCTCCTCCCTTCTGCTCAGCCTCATCCCCGCTTCGTTCTGTCACACGGGCTCTCTTGGCTCTCCTGGCCGCGTGTGCACCCGGTGTTGGATCCCCTCCCCTTCCTGACTTGTGGCCGCTTCTCTGTTCCTAGGTGGAGTATCCCTATGGAGAGCTCGTCATCTCCCTGGGCTTCTTCCTAGTCTTCCTCCTGGAGTCGCTGGCGTTGCAGTACTGTCACGGGGACGCTGGCGGGCCAGCAGTGCAGGGAGAGCAGTGGAGAGGGACTCACGCCTTTGAATTCCACAAGCACCCGCCTGTGCCGTCACCCGCACGGGGTCCCCTGCGCACCCTCATCCTCCTGCTCTCTCTGTCCTTTCACTCCGTCTTCGAGGGTCTAGCCGTGGGGCTGCAGACGACAGTGGCGGCTGCAATACAGCTCTGCGTGGCCGTTCTGTCTCATAAGGGGCTTGTGGCGTTCAGCGTAGGCCTGCGGCTGCTGAAGGCTGGCACCGGGTCGCGGTGGGCCACGCTCTGCGTACTGTCGTTAGCGCTCATGTCTCCTGTGGGCTTAGCCGTAGGGCTGACTGTGGCTGGGGGGGCCTCGGGGCCGGAGCAGGGATTAGCCCAGGCTGTATTAGAGGGAATATCAGCTGGCACATTCCTATACGTCACCTTCCTAGAAATTTTGCCCCGGGAGCTGGCTTGCCCTGAGGCCCCCCTGGCCAAGTATGGCTGTGTAGCTGCTGGTTTTGCCTTCATGGCTCTTATTGCCTTGTGGGCCTGAGAGGTTCCTCACTGCACTGACGGACCTATCTAGGATGACTTCTCCTGAGGACACCCCCTAAATGGCTTTGGCCCTCACTCATTTTTTTTTTCAGTGAGACTAAGCATTTTTCTAGGCACGAACTATCCCAGGTTTTATATATGTGAGATCCTGTTCTTGCTCGAGACTTAGACAGGATGTTTTACGTGCCTGTTTAACGGGAAAATTGGTTTCCAGACCATCACTCCAGAATAGCTAGTATGTGTAATAAAATGCCCATTTTACTGTTTCCCCTCAACCACACTGTAATTCAAGTCTATGATGAGGAAAAGGGGGCGTGGGGGGAATCGGGACCCGTAGTCATTTTCGTGGTTACAGGTCATTCCCCCAGACATAGCAAGACTGCTAGGACTTCAACAACCCTTTGTTGCCTTGCCCCTGGGAGCTGAGAAATAGAATACCATGTAGAGGGAGAAGGGCATTTAAAAACAGAAACCAGGGCGAGATCTTCCTCCTCCACTGACTACCTCACCTCACTCTCAGTGCCTGCCATTCACGCTGAGTCCAAAACACCATTGCTACCCTTGAGCTTCTCTTTCTGGCTGCCACGGGCTGAAGGATTAAAAGCCAGTGTCTGCAGAGTAGAGCCGGCGCCAAATAAATACCTCCGGTGATTATTCTCAAGTGTAAACCACCTAGCGGCTCCCCTTCCGCCTGCCTGACCAGCTGCTACCAAGGACAGTGCAAAAAAGCAGCTCTCCTGGAATTGAGGAGGGACAGGGTACCGGCTCCCCTGCCCTGGCCTAGTTGGAGCATCTCACACTCCGGTGAAGAAATAAGACAGGAAAGGTGTGCCCTGAAGCTCACACCCTCACCACTCTGCCCCTTCTTGTGATTTTCATGTGATGCCGCAAACAGCTTTAACACGAACGAACTCTCCCGAATCGTTCTTGTCTGAGTCTTTGTCTCCTTCCTGATGTACTGCGCCTCCCTCAAAAAAGTAAGAAATCTAAATCCTGTCTCCACAACAGAGAATGATGAGAAATGGGCAAAAACAGGAGTGGGAGACGGGACATCCTGAGGTATGCGGGAGAACCCGGGGTGCCGACGGCGATGGCTTCGGCGGGGAACACCTGCAGCATGACAGGCTGTGCTGCTGTTTGTACACACACACACACCTCACTTGCACAACTCCGGCAGTGATGCTATCCCAGTAAATAACCCAGGAAAACTGGCATCCAGAAAAGTTAGTCTGATCACTTGGCCAGCGGGGCCTCAGAAGTCATTTTCCTTTACTGTATGGAAAAGCCCCCCGAGAAGCCTTTCCTTCCTTGTGGGTTCCCTTCCCAACACCCATGTTCACCCTGTGTGTTAGAATTCCAGATCAGCGCCTAGAGTGCACAGCACAATTGAGGAAGCATGAATGGAAGGGCATTCAGGAAGGTGTGTGGGCAGGGTTCAGACAGAGCAAGGAGCGTGCAATACCCAGGGGCTGAGTAATCAGCTCGATGGTAGCAGAAACTAGAAAGGACCGGTTCAGAGGGCTGGAGCCTTGATCTCCAGGGACCCAACCAGGAAGGTGCTAACATAATCTTATTTTCTCGATCTGATTTACTAATGTCCTATTGGGCAAAACCAGACCGAAGCCGGGGGCTAGAAACGGCTGGTAGGTAGGTCTCTATAGACTGGCCAAGCCACCTGGACGCAGAGCTGTCCTGGGCGTCATCCATGCCCTGCTGTGGTTACATGAACATGATCTTGTCAGGACTTTGGCAGGGTGAATCGAAAGAGCTGTGTTTGTATGGAGGCTGGGGAATTAGCCCTACTACAGAAAAGTGTCCAGCTGTGACAGGGACTGAAGGAGGAGCACCCTGGCCTGCTGTGGCTCTCCCCTTGGTTCTAGATCACTGGCGCCATCAGCATTTGATGCGGACGAGGTAAGTTCGGTTCCTCGAGCTGCTGGTGAGCTGCGAACCCTGTCCTGGTCCACCCCTGGAACTTGGGACTCCCGTTTGACCTCCTCTCCAAAGCCACCGGTACTTAATTTCCTCCCCGTATCTGTTTCCTTCTTTCCCCCCCAATTCTTGCCACCCAGGGCCAGACGTGTGCTGATTTTGGAGCGGACATGATGCTAGAGGGGGGCGCCATCTGGAGCACACCAGGCAGAGCATCTGCACCGGGAGAGGACAGACTGATTTCAGAAAGCACCGGCGTCAGAGCCGTGCTGGGAAGGGGGAGGCAGCTGCGTGGCAGCCGGCGCAGCCATAAGAAGGCTGGAACAGAAGACGGTTAGAGCAACGAGACTGGAGAACAAGAGGGAAGACATCCAGGCTGGTGGAGTAATCAGGAATGCGTGTGACAATTTTCACATCGTCCTGTGATGACGTCAATCACAGAGGACGTTTTCTCTGGGGCCACATAGGAGTGGCTATGACCCAGAAAAAGATCAAGGTTACCCCACATTCCATGTTCCACCAGGACGACAGCTTCGTGAGGTTTGTAGTTGCTTTTGTTTGGGTCAGTCGGTTGGTTTTTGTTTTGTTTTGGGGGCTTTTGGTTTGGTTTTGTTTTGGATTGTTTTCTGTTTGTTCATTTTGAGTCAGAGAATCTCTATGTAGCCTCTACTAGACTGGAACTCACTATACAGACCAGGCTGGCCTCAAACTCAAAGACATCCATCCACCTGCCCCTGCGTCCCAAATACTGGGATTAAAGGTGTGAAAAACCATGCCTAGCATTCATTATAGTAATAGGCCAAAGTCACAAATCAAAACTTCAAAGGCCATTGATGACATTCTTAGTTCTCAGGGTTAATGAAAGCTAATGATCTACTAATTCATCCCGAAAGATCTTATCTGGTAGTCAGAAAGATGTCAAGTCTGACACAAAGGCAGGTCATGAATGGCTATCCAAGGGACTAAAGACAGCAGAAGATAGACTGCAATTAAGCACCAGACCTGCAACATTCCAACCTCACAACCATTTAAGTTCCAACCAGCCCATCACCCCCGGAGGACCGTTGTGTGTAGACTTATTTCTAGGAACTTTAATTCACACCTTCACCTTCCCCATCTCTCAGTCACTCCCTCATACATTTTGTATATACCTAGGAAGAAAACTAGGAAGTAGGCTTCCAGCATACCTCCTGCACACAGCCAGCTTGCTATTTCTGCTCCCAATAGGCTGTCTTCTGAAGGGACCTTTCTGGGGCCCTTCCTGCCTCCCCTTTGCTTTGAGGCTGGGGGATAGATAGGCTTAGTTTGGTCTGGATGATGCAGACACATGAAAATGATTTGTGAAGAACACAAGAGAAACCAGAGTTCAGAGAATTGACTGGAACAGGGCAGGTCATCAGGAATCAACACGTTTGACAGCTGCTTACCCTGTGCGCATGAGGGCCTGGGTTTGATCCCCAAAACCACAGAAAGGGAGAGATGAGCTAAAGCCCCAGACTCACTCTGCTAGAGTAGCCTGTGCCTCTTGGTCCTTCCCTGAATACGTTTTGGAGTAGCTTGCCTCCCTCACTACAGAAAACACTACCCCCTTGTTCTTAGACACAGTGAACATCTGCCAGAGCTTATGGGATAGGATGGGATGGACACCCTCTAGTTCCCTAGCTGACCTGAAGGGGAGCCCGCTGATGCTAGCAATTGAGAGGAGCAATCTCTGGGAATGCTTACAAAATCCTAGCCATAGAATCAAGTTTTGGTTTGTGTTCTTAGTGACTCTCCCTTGTCGAAGTATGTCAAACACAGAGTGTGCCCTACACTTCCCATGGACTTATCAGTTAGAGTCTGCTGGCAGAGAGATCTGGAAAATATAAGCTACATTGTTCTGGGTACCATATTTCCTCACCAAACCCTGAGCCTCCAGTCAGAAATCACTCATCTTTTCCAGTTATTCCTAAATCTTTTTAAAAGTTATGTCTCCCACTCCCATATTTCCTATGACCATATTTTTACTCTACCCTACCTGCTGTAATGTCACTATTTGGTTGGTATAACCATTTATTTGTTTGTTTGTATTTGTTCAGAGTTTCTCTGTGTAGCTTTGTAGGCCAGGCTGGACTCGAGCTCACAGAGATCCGCCTGCCTCTGCCTCCCGAGTGTTGGAATCAAAGGTGTGTGCCACCACTGCCTGGCTTTGTTGGTATAATCATATATTGCTTAAAGATGGGGATATGTTCTGAGAAACATACATTAGGTGATTTTGTCTGTTTTTTGTCATTGTGAAACATTAGAGAGTGCATTATATAAACCAAGAAAGCTCTGGTGTCCCTAAGGAAATGATCTGTGGGACTGTGATCACATATGCAGATATATACACCAGGATGACCAAAATGTCATTATGAAGCTCCTCATTGTTCCTTGAAAAAATAGGAGATCCAGATTTTTTTGTTGTTGGTTAGTTGGTTGGTTTTTCAAGGCAAGGTTTCTTTGTCCTGGAACTCATTCTGTAGACCTTGAACTCAGAGATCTACCTGCCTCTGCCTGGAGCGCTAGGGTTAAAGGTGTGCACCACGGCCCTGCCGTGTTTTTTTTACTGAACTGTAACACTTTTTTTTTCACTCTTTTCTGATTTCTCATTACCACTGAGCAGTCTCTTACCTTACTGATAGCTAAAGTATGGAGTACACTCACATTCCTGGGAATAAAGTAAGATTCACACAGGAATCCTAAGTCTAAAGAGGAGAGAGTAAGCAGGGAATTGTGACTCTGCTTCTGTCAAATTGTACAGCACCCCAAGCCTCCGAGTTCTTAGCCGGCCTTGATTTCAGGACAGCCTTATATTCAACAATGGTGCTATAAAACCGGGAAACCTAGGAGCCAGGTAAAGTGATGGAGGACCCTGCTGACCACAGGGGGGGCACTGTGTCTCCATGGGTGAACTAGGATATGCAGAGCCAAAAAAAAAAAAAGGGGGGTCAATCTAGGACAGCAAACGCCACCCAACCCCCCACCCCTGCCCCCAGTTACTGCAGACCATCTTTTTTTCCTACCTTAGATTTCTGGAACAGAAACATCTATAGTTGCATTCAAATACGTGTACACTTAAGTAAAACATCTTCCTAGGTGTGAAAATTACTCTGCTAACAATGACTTTTGTAGGCAGGTACAGGCACTAAGCAAGATCAATCCTCCCATAACACACAGCAGCAGCTACACCGATAAAGGCACCTTGAGGCCTTAGTTTTTCACTTTTTCCTCATGTTTTGCTAAGCAATCCCAGTGGTTATAGCCATGCTTCAGTTTTTCATCATTGTGGCATTTCAGGCATCTTTGTTTCCTGATCCAGCCAACACCTAATCCTAACCTGGGAACACCCTCTTCCAATACTGGCCTACAACATCTAAATGGGATCAGGGCTAGGACCATAGCTCAACAGTAGAGCATGTCCAAGGTTCTGGGTTCAATCCCCAGCACAAAAAGAAAAGGAAAAAGCATCAGCATCAAGGACTAAGTCTGTCACTACCACGTCTGTATGTGAGCACTTGATGCCTAGTGGCTTCAGCCTGCCAGTGTCATTGGGAAAATGGTACACTTGAGGTTTCCATAAGGCAAGCTTTAAAAACCCCATATTGTGTATCACATTGTTCCTTCTAACACTTCCATAAAGTGCTTTCTCACTTGCGTGTGTGTGTGTGTGTGTGTGTGTGTGCGCTCCTGTTTAAGTGTATGTATGTACACCCCCATGTGAAGGCCAGAAATGGACTTTTGAGTGTGTTCCTCCATCATGCTACACCTCATTTTTTGAGACTGGGTGCTGTCCATCACAACCCTCTAAGTCAAACAGCCATCGTCATCATATCTATTTGCAAAAGATCCTCGTAGCCAGGCCTGTTGATATTTGGGGAGGAAGCAGGGTCCCTGGACCCCCACCTGAGAAGCCAGCCACTCCTCCCAACCATTTCTGTATTCATTCCATGAGGCCTTGGACTGAAAAAGAAGCTACGGTATACGGCCTGGGGAAGACTACGAGAGCTCCGCCTGAACAGCAATGGGGAGTTGATGGGGGAAGTCCTGTGTATATGTCAATAACGCACTGTTGGCCAATAGGGAAGTAAGACAGGTGGGACTAGGAGTCTAGGAGGACTCTGGGAAGGAGAAACACAGGGAGTCAAGATGTAACCGCCATAGGGATAAGAAGCCTGGAAACTTCTCCAGTAAGATAAATACTTAGATTAACAGTTATGGGATAAATACTTAAGTCAGAGCTAGCCAGTAAGAAGCAAGCAAGGCCAACAGCTTCATAATTAATACAACGTCTTGTGTTATTTGGGGACCACAACGAGGCAGAGCCCAGGCGACTGGTGGGGAAAAACCAATCGGCTGACAAGGAAAAGGCTTCTCTCTACAGGGAGTCATCACAGATGTGGGGTGCACCTTCCAGTGTGCCTGTCTTAAGGTCATCCACAGCCCCAGGTCATCCGAAGTCCCAGGGTAAACTTTGGTTTGTCATTGGGACCTCATGAGGAGGGGCTAGACATCGTTTAGGTCCAAACTCTCCGGAAGAAAATTCTCGCAATACTAGGTCCCCACTGAAGCTGGCACCCAGTGATTGGCTAGACAGGCCAGGTCGTGAGCACTCTGGACCCTTCTGTCTCCACCTCCCAGCACTGGGACCAAAGGTGCAGAGCCAAACGGTGAGCTAGGGATCTGAACACGGGTCTTCACGATTGTACAAGGACGTCTCCTGAGCCATCTCCCTAGCCCTTCCTCCTACTGCCTCAAGAGCCCAAGAATCAAGCCACAACAGCTTCAAGACATCCGAATCTCCACTGTCTGTTACATTTTTTTAACAGGCTCTTGAAGAACTATCCGTGTTTAGCTACCACATCCTCCTGGAGTCCATCAATGAATAAAATCCTCAAAGGAAGTTCCCTTTTGCTGGGACTTTCTTGACTCCCAGTGCCCTTGGGAGCTAAAAGAGGAAGTTTAGATGTCCCGAAACTAGAATCACAGGTGGTTATAAGCTGCCGTGTGGGTGCTGGGACTTGAACCCAGGTCCTCTGGAAGAGTAGCTGGTGCTCTTAAGCACCGAACCATCTCTCCAGGCCCTCAGTCAGCTTTTTTTTTTAAATTATGAATACAACATCCTGCCTCTATGTATATCTGCACACCAGGAGAGGGCGCCAGATCTCATTACAGACGGTTGTGAACCACCATGTGGTTGCTGGGAATTGAACTCAGGACCTCAGGAAGAGCAGTCAGTGGTCTTAACCTCTGAGCCATCTCTCCAGCCCCACAGTCATCTTTCTTCAAGAGCACGATATTGATGACACCTCAGTCCTAGTCTTACTCAACAACCCACAAATGATAAGGAAGGCTTAAAAACACGATTAGTAGAGAGAACAATATCGTTTTCTCGGATCCAATGATCACATTCTGTGAAGTGTTTGTACTCCATAAGCGGAGCTCCCGGGTTTCAGCACTTTAAGAGGACCAAGGAGAAGACAGAAAAGGGGAAGGATGGACACATTCAGGTCACAATTAATAACGGTGCTCAGTTTCCTCTGTTTATTGTCACAGCAGAAGTGGGAGACAGGAGGTCACGCTCTACACGTAACGGTTATGGTCAGAGCCCGAGGCAGCCCTCCCACCCTTATGCCAGACCCCAAGCAGTCTGCCCTAAGCTCTCTCCCCAGTCCCACTGGAGGTGCACACTGACAGCTACCGAAGTTAGTGCAGTCAAAGGGCCCAGGCCCCGGCCTACGGCCCCGCTCCAATCCTTCTACCAATGGCCCCGCCCTACGGCCCCGGCTCCAATCCTTCCACCAATGTTCTTAACCACCACCCACCATTTCCCACTCTACCTTCACTTTTACATGCTGGCTATCTCTGTCACATTGTAAGGACCAGCGACCCACCAGCAAGCCTCCCAGATACACATTCGTTTAGGCCCAATGCCTTCAGAGGCTTGAAAAGGCAAAGCCACAGTCAGCTTTGGGGGCATGGAGCTCCCCATCTCCCACCCCTACCTACACACACACACACACACACACACACACACACACACACACACACACCCCTCTCCTACCCTTGCAAATATGGGATAAGGAGAGGGGGTGAAGGAGGCCCCACGGCAGCTATAACAGCTTCTCGTTCCTCGCCTACACACGCCTAGGTCAGGGAGAGAAGACGCAAGACTTCTCAACACCAAAACGGGAGAGGGGCTGATTTAGGGGGCCTGCATCTCTAAGAGATATTAGGACACCTCTCCTAGGAGCTAGAGGAAATCACAGGTTAGAGGTCAAGGTTAGAGTAGCTATTAAAGATCAAGGTCATCTCCCAGCAGATCTTACTCTGGCCCCAATACGCCTCTCAGGTTAGTGCTGCAGGAGGTGGGGGGCTGGGTTCCACACCAGGGCCGTGTAAGGGTCATTCAACAGGAGACTTCCATGGTGTGCCCCGGGGGCCCAGAGGGGAGAGTCCCAGACTCGCTGCTCTGTGACAGGGTGCGGGAGCGGGACCGACCGCCATCGATGGAGGCTGCACTGGTCAGAGATGCCGTACGGGACCGAGACAGGCGAGTCATGCAGGATGAGGCCACTGCGGAAACAGAGTGGTGAGCCAGCCGCCAGAGATCCGTGCAGGAGGGGGCTGGTAACCCTAGGTGAAGGCAAAAAGCAATCCCGGCGGCCGGGGACCCAGCGAGCTTGACTCCTGAGAAGTGGGCATCCAAGAGTCAACCTCAAACAAGCCCGCCCCTCCTAGGGACCATGGGTTCCCTTCGCGGCGGCCTCCTCCGTCCCAATACTCACTGTAGCCCATGCCTTGCAGGAAGTACTTGAAAGCCTCAGTCAGCTTGCCTGGCTGTGGGCAGATTACAAGGAAAGAGGGAGTCAGGAGAGAGACACGGTTAGACACCGTGAAAGCCCAAGGCCACAGCAGAGGCGAAGGGCACACAGATCAGGGACGCCAAGAATTCACCTGCTTCCCCCTCCCACGGTCAGGGGGGGGGGACACTCACCTGAGTCAGCTGCGGCTGCCCTCCAGAATCAGCCATCTATTCGTGAAGGAGCACCCAGAAAAGAAGGACGTATGGATGGACAGGACGACCCACGCAGAGGGGGAGGGGCTGTTTCCTACCGCCCTTCCTCACTTGGTCCCTGTGGTCTCTGCTTCGTGGACCCACAAAGAACCCTCAAGGCTTAAAACGCTGGAATTTAGAGTATGTGTAGTCCTGGATGGGGGGCCCGGGAGCAAGCAAGGCTTGGAGGCAGACTACTGACCTTGAGGAAGGAGGTCTGTGTGGGGTCCAGTTTTGAATTACATTCCACCTGGAATAAGTGGGAGACTGAAGGAACGAGCTTGCCCTCCCCGCAGCACTTCCCCTCCAAGCGACCCTGCTCTTCCTCTCCTTGTCAGCCCCCTACCCAACTACTTCTTTTTTTTAATTTTATTTTTTATTTTTTGGTTTTTCGAGACAGGGTTTCTCTGTATTGTTTTGGAGGCTGTCCTGGAACTCGCTCTGTAGACCAGGCTGGCCTCGAACTCACAGAGATCCGCCTGCCTCTGCCTCCCGAGTGCTGGGATTAAAGGCGTGCGCCACCAACGCCCGGCTCCCAACTACTTCTTAATAGGAATAAAATTTCCTAAAGTCGCTCCACCTGTCCCAGAGTTTGCCCCTTGGCAAGATGCACTTACAACCACAACACCCCCCCACTAGCCCCAAAAAGTCGCTACTAACCACAGCGTCTTCATGAGGCGCTTGGTCTCCTACCACCAGCATCACGGGGCACCTACAGGGTCGGGGAGAAGGCACTGAGCCCTGGGCTTCCTCACCCACCACTTCTTCCCAGGAGAGCAGCTAGGAGAGCAGCTTCCCAGGAGGCTGGCCCCGAACCAGCCACCCCCTCCTGCTGACCCACCAAAGGGGAAGGCCCAAAGGGCGGCAACCTGATACACAGAATGCAGTCAAATAGGTCAGTTCGCTACAACAGCTGAGGGTTGCCAGCACCAAGTGGCAGTCCAGGCACAGGGCAAGGCTGCATCTACCAACGTCTTACCTGAGGGTCATCTCACCACCTCGCTCAAAGTTCAGGTCTCGGCGGCTACAGAGGGTTCAAAGAGGTGTTTTTTTTTTTTTAACAGGCAGTGGTGTCTCTATCTAGATACACTACATTCTCCGTAGGACGCTACCTCCCCCCCCCCTTTTTTTTACAGTCAGCTACTGGTGATGAAAAGTTAACACCGGGCTGGGTTTGCAGCCTGGAGGCAGAGTACCTGCTTAGCATCTACAGGGCACCGGGTTTGATTCCCCCCAGCAGTTAAAGGAGGGAGAGGGGACCACAGAAGATGGCAGGCACATGCCCAAAGCACGCCACCAATAATCACCTGTGCCCTAGATCTCTGGAGAGGTGGCTCAGGGCTCAGGGGACGACAAGAGTCTGGCTGCCCCTCCAGAGGACCTGGGCTCAGTTCCCCGCACCCACATGGCAGCTCACACCCGTCCGTAACTCTGTTCCAGGGTATCTGACACCCTCACACCAATGCACATTAAATAAAATAAAATAAGGAAAAAAGAACGAGAATGCCCTTACTCCTGTGCTAAAGCGGCATTCGGAACCCTGCCTGCCCTGCACACTGCACACGGCCCTCTCCCCAGTCCCATCTCTCCATGCAGACACACCCACTCACTTGTTGTAACTGTTCCAATACAGTTCAATGTTCTCCAGGTTCGGGGCATGTGCGATGATATTTCTATACTTCTGTATCAACTCAGAATTCCCAGAGAGCTCTTCCTGAAGCACACAAGAGATGAAGTGGGGTTGGAAAAAGAAGCCAACCGTGGCTAAAACTGTCTTCACACCCCAGACCCTATGCCGGCGTTCAAGTCCTTGCTGGTAATTACTTCAGCTCCTTCCGCCTTCCACAACCACTTACTTACCTGGCTGAAAAGATGTCCAAGAATCATCTCCGGAATGGAAGAGGTAAGGCCTGTTAGCTGCAAGGGCAGTCGAACAAGTTCAAGACGTTGTGGGGAAAGGGACACTGCGCCCTCATCCGAGGGCGGTCCCCACCCAAGAAGTCAGAACTCAAGCCCCTCCGAACCTTGTGGGCTGCCCAATCCATCCAGCCCTTGGCATTGGGGTCAATGTTGATGAGAACAAGACCTTCAACTGTGTCCGGGTGGGTCAGCTAAGAGGTGACAGAAAGGGGATCAGAGGCAGGCACCCCACCTCACTGAGTCCCCCCCCCACCTTCCCCTGGACTCCTATATGACCTATACTCTCTACCCTGCTCCCCATTGCCTTCAAATGCTGGAATTACAGGGATGCGGACCGTGCCTACAACTGTCTGTCTAATATGGGTGGGGCACCTCCATTTCCCCAGTCCAGCAGAGTTTGCTTCTTACAGCATATCGTGACAGAATGTAGGCTCCAGCTCCAACACCAACTCCAATTATTGTAGAGAAACTGTAAAAGGGAAATGCATGGGTCAACAGGATCTGGCAATCAGAATCTGTCACAGCCCAATTTCTTCAAACTCCTCACCATCCTCCGTGGGGGGGTCACAGCCACCAAAGGGGACAGCAAAGGCCTTTCCTTCAGGCATGTAAAAAGAAAGGCCCCAAGAATGCCTGTACTTCCTCTCGGAGAACTAGCATCTTGAAAGGAAACACACATCTCTTCCCACACACACAGCTCATTCATTCTCAACTCTCGGAAACAAGTTGAAACCTGTTCTGACTCCCGGTTCCACAGAGGAACAGAAACTATGGACCTTAAAGCAAAACACGGAAACAGGTGTGATGTTAAAGCAAAACACGAAACAGGTGTGATGTTAGTGAGCCGGAAGAGCGGAGGAGACAGGGAAGCAGGCAAACCGCAGTTGCTGAGAGCCAGGGTGCCCAGGAAAAGCTAAGCTACGAAAAGATCTCAGGAGTCAGGGGCTGGCAAGACGACTCAGCAGTCAAGGACACTTGCTACTCTTGCGGAGGACACACACTGGATTTCCAGCACCTACATGGTGGTTCACAAAAAAATCTATAACTCAAATTCCAGGGATTCCAATGCCCTCTTCTGGTCCCTGTGGGCACCACACATATTATATGGCATGCATGCATACATGTAAGCAAGCATTCATGACACCTAAAATAAAAGTAAATCTGAGAGAGAGAGAGAGAGAGAGAGAGAGAGAGAGAGAGAGAGAGAGAGAGAGAGAGAGAGCGCACCCAGAAATCAGCATCTTCCTCCCCAGGCCAGAGGCCCCTGTGAGACTGATCTCCCACCCCCCCCACTGTCTTCCACACCTGGCTCCCAGTGTACCACATGTGACTCAGGAAGACAGGAATGGGGACCAAGACGGGTCTATCTAGTTCCTCGGGAATGAGATCACCCGGACCTCTTCTTGCCTAACTTCCGGATCAGAAAAGGTTCCCTGCTTCAAGTCTTTACCATTTATTGCAGAAGTAGCAATTAACAGTCTAGATATCGGTGGCGCACGCCTTTAATCCCAGCACTTGGGAGGCAGAGGCAGGCAGATCTCTGTGAGTTCGAGGCCACCCTGGTCTACAAGAGCTAGTTCCAGGACAGCCTCCAAAGCCACAGAGAAACCCTGTCTCAAAAAAACAAAAACAAACAAACAAACAAACAAAACCAGTCTAGATATCAACTCCTGCCTGCTGTGAGCCTCCTGCCTGCACCCCGAGATGCTTCCCCTAAGCCTAGACAGGGCCAAGTACAAACCCTTTCATCCTGTTCCCCTCACTCAGCAGTGAGACTACTCTGACAGTCAACATTCCAAGCCCACTGCCCTCCCTCTGGGGCCTCTCACTTTAAGTACTGCAGGATGCAAGGAATCATGTCTGCCAGCTGGTCCAGAGACGGGTACTGGTACCTAGAGAAGAGGGATGCTGAAGTTACCAGTCTGCCCCCACACACCTCCACACCCTGTGCCAGAACCTTCTCTGCCTCCTTCACTTCCAATCTCTCTAGTGCACTGCACACTGCCCTACACCACCATCCACACACACCTGCTTATGAAAAGCCTTACCCCAAAGGGAACACGGGAGCCCCTTCTTCCATCCCGGGGGCATCCACGTGAACCCGCACGAAGTTCTGGATGATTTCTTGCATATCCCCGAACTGAAACAGTGGCTGGAAGCAAGATTTATCTAAAGAGAACCCACATCTCCCCTCAGCAACAAAATCAGAAGTGAAAAGCATCCTCGTGCCAAAGCCCATCCTAGCTTTGACGCCAGCTAAACCAGAGGGGGATTCCTCTGGTGTGTCACTGGCTCCCCGCCTGACCTTGGTGACGACCACCCCACACACACACTGGGTTTTCCCCTCCCCTGCCTCCTTCCAGGAAGAAGCAGGAGAAGCAATGACGGTCTTACAGTTGAGTCCTACATCATGGTAGGTGAATATCGCTGGGCGTTTGGGTTTGGGGGTGCCGTACACGGTAAAGGTGACGGAGCCATAAGGTGTCTCCACAGAGTGGGTCTGTAAGAAAAGAGGCAGCCATCAGGGAGAAAATATACTGAAGCTTTTCAAAGGGGGGAGGCAAAAAAAGAAGTGAAAAATTGGTTAAAAACAGGGTCGATGGGTTTTAGGAGAACATGACCGTGGAACTGGATGGGCAGGCAGAAAATAATGGAAGGCCGGAAATCAAGGAACTCAGAGGAGAAGGGAAGAGAGAAAGATGGAGAATGGGGAAGGTGTAGAGTCAGAGTGGGGGCCGGAAATCAAGGAACTCAGAGGAGAGAAGAAGGGAAGAGAGAAAGATGGAGAATGGGGAAGGTGTAGAGTCAAGAGAGTAAGATGGAGAATGTAAAGAGTCTGAGTGGGGCCCTGTCAATACCGGGGGAGAGAAGAGAATGTCCTCCCGCCCTGGCACTGTCCCCAGTTACCTGTCCCTGGTCCAGGAGGATTCGGGCAGCCAACTCGGCCTCCTGGAGAGACACACACAGACAGACACACACACACAAGCGCCAGGAGTGACAAACGGAGACAGACACAAAGAGGTAGGCACAGAGAGACCGACAGACGCAGGAAGATTGACAAGAACGAGACAGGAGAGGGTGAAGGTTAGTGGTGACGAGACAGGCTCTGGGCTCCCTTCCACAGTGTCCAGGACAGGAGATGGGAGAAGGATGAAGTCGGAATGACAGCCCCGGGCCCGGGGAAGCTGGGAGGCCTCGGGGACTTTCCGGAGGATGGGGCTGAGGCAGGGAAGTCAAGAAGCCACCATTGACCAACCTTGGCAGTTTCAGGCGCCTGTCCTGGCAACAGCGGCTTTTCCTCGGTGATCTGAACCTCCTGCAGCTCTGCCATGGTGGCCTGCTGGGACAAGGGAAACGGTAAACCAGCCGGGCGGTGGTGGCGGCGGCGCGCGCCTTTGATCCCGCCGCTCAGGAGGCAGAGGCAGGGGGATGTCTGTGAGTTCGAGGCCGGCCTGGTCTAAAGGGTGAATTTCAGGACAGCCAGGGCTACACAGAGAAACCCTGTCTCAAAAAGAAAAAAGAAGAGAAAAAGAAGAAAGAAAGAAAGAAAGAAAGAAAGAAGGAAGGAAGGAAGGAAGGAAGGAAAGAAGGAAGGAAGGAAGCAAAGACAGACAGACAGACAGCAGGCCTGGGGGGCCGCTCAGCCTCAGCCCAGGTCGATGCGGTGTGCGGAGGTACCCCAGAGCTGAGAACTCGGAGACACAGAGGGCTTTTCTGGCTCCCCTAGCCCACTTCCAGGGTAACTAACTAGGAGGAAGGACAGCAGCCTCTTCAGCCTCTTCAGACTGCCAGCCCCCTGCGGCCCTCCACCTCCAACACTCAGGCCTCCAGGTGATCCTCCTCCCTCTTGATAGTCCACAACACCCTCTCCCGTCCTGGAGGGACACCAGGGCGGGGAGCAATGTGGCTCTGGCTTCTTAAGCTACATTAGGGGACACCCCACACTCCCCATTGCAGCTTCCCTAACTGGGTACGCTCTAAGTGTACCAAGGGATAGAGCGGTGAGCGTTGGCAATGTCCTGTGACCTTCAACCACAGCTCCAATGTCAGCATCTGGAGGGCCTAAAAATGACTAAGGCAATTAGTACTCAACAGAGGGACACAGATATCCAAAATCCAACCAACGGATCCCTTCCTCTGGCGACTCAAAGCTCTCCCTTCCAAGTACATGGGCGTATACCAACACACTGAGCTCTAGGGAGCCCCTGTACAGCCCCGTAAAGAAGCAAGCCTGGGGCTCGGGGCGGGTGGGGTCAATTTACGGCGCTCCTATTGGTCGGGTGCCGTGAGACTACAGGTCAGGGTTCCCAGTCCTGACTCTGGGGTCTGAGGAAACACATGAACAAGGTGAATGACATGGGGACATACCGCCACGGCCAAGACCCACCCAGACTCCCTAGGGTCACTAACCCTTCCCAATCTCCGCAGAGTCCAGAGAACACGTCCTCTCCAGACTTCAATCAGTACAAGCTGGAGGGGCCTGCGGGGCAACGCGAGCAGGCTCACACTGGGCAAGGGGAGGGAGAGCAGGGAGTGGGGACAAGGCGACAGGGCATGACTGTGTCAGAACCTCTGGGTCCTACCCCACTGCCCCTAGCGTGTGACCTTGCCTGGGCGCTACTGCTCAGTTTTGACCGCTGATAATGTAGGTAGTACTGGGTGACGTTTTCCTCCACCGTTTTAAAAACAAACAAGTACTGAACAAGCCCCACGCCTTCACGTCTCTCCTCCACCCCGTCTAGCTGGGGGGTCTAGTGGAGAAAGCCGAGGGGGAGCAGGGCGGTCGCGTATCCTCCGGACTCCCCCGACTTCACGTGCCAGCTGGGGGAAGGATGGGTAGGGCTTTGTGACTGGCCGCTCCCATAAACCCGAAACCTGTCCCCGTGAGTCCCTGGCGGCTGGTGCTCGTCCGGGACCCACACCCTCGCACGGCCGACACGTAGCGCCCAGGACCTGGGCACCATCTCCAGCGCGCCCCTAACACGCCCCGCACTCGGTAGCGTCGGAAGGGGGCGGCGGGGCGCCTCTCGCCGCCAGCCCCTTCCCCCGGAGGGAGCCGCAGCCCCGGGGACCACAGCGCCCACCCTCCCGGCCGGCGCCTTCCCAGCCCGGCGGCGCGCTTGCCCCTCCCCCTACCTGCTGCCGCCGCCGCCGCCGCCGCGGTCGCCGCCACCTTCACTTGCCTTTGACTTAGGTCCGCCCAAGCTCGGGTTCCCCGCAGACCCGCCCCGGGCCCGCCCCTGGGCCATCTCCCTGCAGATCCGCCCCGACCCCCAATAAACACGCCCCGCTACCTCGCCCGGCCGGGCGGCTGGAGGATGGGCGAGAAGGGGAGGGACGCAGGGGAGCGCCCTGCGGGGATGCCCGTCGGCTCTCCTCCGGGTGCTCCCCGCAAGCCCGAGCCGCGGGAAGCGGGGTGCGCGTGGGCACCCCCTAAGCCTCCAGATGAGCCCCCCACGCCCACCCCAACGGCGCCCCCTAATGAGACCTGGCCCCGCCGGGCTCAACTTTTTGGCTCTCCTCCTAGCCCCCCAGATCGAGGGGCGGCGACGGGCAGAGCGGGGAGGCCAACCCAGGGTGCCCACGTCCCACGATTTCAGCTCCGCCCGCCCGGAAGCAGAGAGCGAGGTCCAGGGAGGGGGAGGTGGGCGAGGGCCACCGCTCAGACCCGGTCTCCGGGCAGGTAGGGGCGGTGGTGCCGGCCAGTCTGGGGACAGGGCGTCGAGGGCGCAGGCACTCCGAGCGCACGGGGTGCTGGTACCTCCTCAGCCGAGTCCCGCCGCCTGCTCTCCGGCCGCGCTCTGCGAGAAGTTGGACAACAAGCAAGGGGGGGATGGAAATGCTGGGGGCCGCTATAAATAGAGGGTGAACGAAGGAGGGGGACGATGATGGCCAACGGCGACTCCCGGGTCAAGGACCCAACGCGGGGAGGGGGGGCCGGAGTGGGCGTAGGGGAGGGGCTGGGGACCCCCCGAGGGCTCTGACTCCCGTGTAAACAGGCGCGGAGGCGGAGCTAACCCTGCAGGGGTGGAGTAAGGGTTTGAGGAGGACTCGATGTCCTGGGCTGAGACCCAAGAGACCCTGTGGCTGAGGCGCTAACCCCTCCCAGTCCAACCCGGAAAAGGAGGGCAAGGTCTGCTTTAGAAAGACTTAAGTGGCAGCGCCCCGTTGCCGACCGTCTCCCGAGCTACTGTCTCCTAGGCCGACTCTCATGCCTAGGTGGGTTTACCATCCTATCCTAAGGCGTTCCACACGTTTCACATCCGAGACACACCCTCCCTTGTGCTCTTTAAAGGAAGGTTTGATGGCGTGGAGTAGTTGATGTGACTAAGGGGATTGAAAGTTCCGTTAGACAACCAGATTGAGTTTCCCCACATGCCCTCGTTCTTGTACCCCTGCTCCCAGGATTAACTCTACCCCATCCCCCTTCAGCCTAGTGCCAGACTTGCCATTTCGGGGGCTGGGCGCCAGGCCAGTTGAAAACAATGTCCAATGGAACTGGAGCTGCCAGCTGAAACACCAGCACAGACTGCACCCCCGAGACCCCCAAATTGCCCTCCCCCTGCCTGGGAACTACCCTCACCACCCACAGCCCCCCTCCCCAAGGAACATCAATGCCCCTTTCATCCCCGCTTGGCAGGTCTGTTGGAAAGAAGGAGAGGCCCGGAGGGAGGAGGAGGAGACCTGGAGAGGCTCAAACCCAGCCTTCAAAAAAAACACCCTAGACCTAAAGAGCTTCCTGTATCCCCCAAATGGAGCCTCGAGTTTTCGTCTGCTCTTTTTTCCTGCCCCCTTCATAAGTATTGCCCTAGAAACTGGCACAGAAACCTGGCACTCCAGCTCTCTGCCTAGCCCCTCCGCGCAGGTTTAATGCTCTCCTGGACAAGAGAATGCCGGGATTAAGATCACAGCTAGGGATGAGTGAGAGGAGAAACAATTCCACAGCCCTCGTGGCAGGTAGAGATCAAGAGAACCCAGACTCAGTGAGCACTGCAGCCTGAAGGCTTCTTTCACGAGTCCAAAGTAGCCATACTTGGAGAGGGGGAGGAATAGACTGGAAGGTTCCAGCATCTAAATCTGTCTCTGGGTCAGGATGACTCAGGGGGAACCTGATAAGGGGCAGACACAGGGGCTTGGGGAGGGCAGAAGATGGGAAATTTCCACTGAGGTCTGTTACTTCCTAGGCCTTGGGGGGGAGGTCTCTAAGCAGCCCCTGATGACACAACCAGCCCATTGTTCTTTACTGTGAGGACAGGTTCAAGGCAGACCTGAGTGCAAGTGTCCCCACATGGCACTCATCTCCTTTCTCTGGACCAAAAGTAGCTTCAAGCCATGCTTGCAGCTAAGTGACAGTCCAAGCACATGCAGTACGGGGGTCACTGGGGAGGTGAAATTCAAAGAAGTGGTAAAGTTTTGTTCAGCTCTGTGATCCAATGGTTGAGGAAACATGTATAAATAAAGAAAAGGCTAGAGAAAATAACCTATAAGATGAATGCCTAGAGAGCAAGTCTTATAGCAGGCTCCCACTGCTCTCCACACAGAAGAGATTTTTCGTTTCCCTAGAATGATTTTAGTAACCCTTGATGAAGACAGAACAAATTAGAAATTAAGAAATGCTTAAAAGTAATTTTTGGCAGTACTCTGACAATCATGCACGCATTTACAAAGCATACTATTTAATGTTCGCACTTATTCTTGTGTCTAGTGAAAGATTTCAGGGTCCCTAGCAATACTTCTGAACCCCTGCCCCAGAAGGCTGGCACCCGCAGGCTAAGAGCCACGTTTCTATAATTCATGGGAAAGAGGTTTCGTTATTGGGGTGGACCACCCAGATGAGAAATGGATTATCTGAGTGGGAGAAAAGGGGTGCTTTATCCAGGCAGAGAGCAGTAGGGAAAGAATAGTCAGAAAATCAAGAACTACCCTGAAGAATTTTCTTTTCCCAGAGACAGGGTTTCTGTGTAACTTTGTAGACCAGGCTGGCCTCGAACTCACAGAAATCCACCTGCCTCTGCCTGTGAGTACTGGGATTAAAGGCGTGTGCCACCACCACCTGGCTACCCTGAAGAATTTAAGAGTAGGTAGTCTGTGTGATCCCAAAGCTGTATCATTGTTCTTAATGATACAGACATGGAAACTGAAACCCAGAAATATTAATGACTTGCCCATGGCCACCAGCTGATAACACACCTAGGGTTTGACTCCCCACCAGATTCACTCCCCTCCAGGGACCCTTCTCTTTCCACCAGGTAGCCTCTTGAGTGCCTAACTATTATGCCATTAGGGCCCCAGCTAAGAGCAATGTTAGTGACAGGTGGATGACTCTTGGTGAGATAGACCGGGGCGCCAAGTTGTGCCCTTGAACACTGGGCAAAAAAGATTTGACAGTAAGAACCAGAGATTATGCTTTTTCAAAAAGATGTTTTATTTTGATTTATGTGTTAGAGTGTGAGTGCAATGCCCATGGAGGCCAGAGACATCGTGTTGCTCGGGAGCTGGAATCACTAGCAGTTGTTAGCTGCCTGATATAGGTACCGGGAATTAAACCCAGGGCCTCTGCAAGAGCATTGTGTGTTCTTAACCACTGAGCCACCTCTCCAGTCCTGACCATTCTTTTGTTGTTTGTTTTTCGAGACAGGGTTTCTTTGTATAATAGCTCTGGCTGTCCTAGAACTAGCTCTGTGGGCCAAGCTGGACTTGAACTCGCAGAGATCCACCTGCCTCTGCTTCCCGATGCTGATATTAAAGGCGTTGAGCCACCACTGCCCGGCAGTCCTGACTACTCTTGTGTCATAGCATAGTCATTCTGTGAGACAGGGTATCTGGTATTTCTCAAACTAGCCATGTGTCTAAAACTGACCTTGAACTCATCTTCCTGCCTTGGCCTCCAGAGATCTGTAGTTACAAGCTGGTGTCACTGTACTCACGTGTCATAATCTGCTCTTGAGCAGGAATGGTGGATAGAAAACCATATTTGGGGGCTGGAGAGATGGCTCAGAGGTTAAGAGCACTGGCTGCTCATCCAGAGGTCCTGAGTTCAATTCCCAGTAACCACATGATGGCTCACAAACATCTACATATTCAATCTGGTGCCCTCTTCTGGTATGTAGGCAGAACACTATATATGTAATAAATCTTAAAAAAAAAAAAAAAAAAGACTTGGACCTGGAGAGAGCTTAGTTGTCAAAAGGTTAACTGTTCTTCCAAAGGACCTGGGAGTCCTGAGGGTATGATTCCCAGCACCCACATGGCAGCTCTTAGTTCCACGGCTGTAACCTTAGTTCCAGGGGATCAGATGCCTTCCTGATTCTCTCTTCTGTTGTCCATGGGCACAACCCACACATGATACATAGACATACATGCAGGCAGTACACCTGTACATTTAAATTGAATTTGAAAAAGACTTGAATTACAGGTGCAGGAATAGGAATGAAAAAGAATGGGTTTCTTATTTACTTATTTATTTGTAGACCAGGCTGGCCTCAAACTCAGAGATCAACCTGGTGTTCACCACCGCCACCACCCCCACCCCCGTAATGAATTTATAAGATTACAAACTGTTTATAGGAATTACGGTCGGGTTATCTAAGACAAGAGCATGACCAATCTCTACAATGGGATCCCTGAAGCTCATGTCTCCTAAAGCCCATGTCTCCTACAGGGCTTTTGTCCAGAAAGGGACCATTAAGGGACATTTGGAACTGCTCAGGAACTTATCTGGGAGATTCTCCAAGTCTGAAACATACCCTCTGGTACATTTCACACTGCTTTTATATAGGTCTACTACACTACAGGTCCTTTGCTAAGTCAACAGTAGAAGCCCTTTCAGATCCCTGCTGCTGCGGGTGGTGTTCCACAGCCAGAGGGATTCTGCATGCTGGTCCGTAGGCCTAGGAGACCAAGCAGGAGGGCAGTGTTATGTCCGCTTCTGATGCCGGAAGGAGAGACAGCAGAGAAGCCCAAGGCAGAGCCAGAGGTGATGTCATAAAGCTTCTCTGACGTCACAGTGCTTTCTGTTACCTGAACATTTTTATCTCCCTGCCACCCCCACCTTCTCCTCAGTCAGGCTCCCACCTAGCTGCACACACAGAGGCTCCACCCAGGCACCCAGGTATGTGAGAAGGGTTACCAGCGCATAGGAGCTTACGCTTGGCACTAGTCTCCACAGTGCTGGGGGGGGGGGGGGGAGGCGCGAGCAGGCAGTGGGGTGGAAAGGTGGGGAGGACAGATCTTTCCAGGTGCTGCCCGCAGTTTACCATGCTTGTCCCTCGCTCCCCAGCCCCCCCCTTGTCTGCCTCCCTCCCCCAGCCCGCCCCACAGTTGTCCATGGCCTCAGAAGCAGAAAACACATTCCATCGGTTTGCTGTCTTTGGGGAGTCGTCCAGCAATGGCTCTGAGATTAGCAACAAGAACTTCGCCAAACTCTGTAAGGACTGTGGCATCATGGATGGAAAGGCCGTGACCTCCACAGACGTGGACATTGTGTTCAGCAAAGTGAAGTAAGGGGCCATAGGCGGGGAATGAGGTGAAAAGGCAGTTACCGGTCAGCAGCTCTGGCTGCTGCTTGTGGTCGTCGTTTTTCAAGACAGGGTTATTCTGCGCAACAGCCCTGGCTGTCCTGTAACTTGTTCTGTAGGCCAGGCTGGCCTTGAACTCCGAGATTCGCCTGTCTCTGCCTCCCAAGTGCTGGGATTAAAGGCGTGCGCCACCACCACCCGGCCAGATGGCACAGTTCTTTCTTCCTTCCTTCCTTCCTTCCTTTCTTTCTCTATTTTATGTGAGTGCTCTATCTGCATATACAACTTTACGTGAGAAACGGGCACCAGATCTCATTACAGATGGTTGTGAGCCACCATGTGGTTGCTGGGAATTGAACTCAGGACTTCTGGAAGAGCAGCCGGTGCTCTTAACCTCTGAGCCTTCCCTCCAGCCCCCCAAGGCACAGTTCTTAGGATGGAAGATTTATAAGAAGCATCTGGCACTGTCCTGCTCCCTAATCTCAAGATTCGCTGGCAGGATAAGCCATATCTGACTCAGAAAAGGGTGGATGTTGGGAGGCAATGACTTCACACTCCATAGTTACATGATCTCTGTCTGACTGGCCAGGGCCAAGAATGCCAGGACCATCACCTTTCAACAGTTTCAAGAGGCGATGAAGGAGCTGGGCCAAAAGCGGTTCAAAGAGAAGAGCCCAGACGAGGCGCTGGAGGATGTTTATAAACTCATGGAAGGCAAGGACCCCGCCACCACCGGTGCTACTGTGAGTAACGTCCTTAGTTTTTGCTGGTCTTCCTTTCTCTTTTTCCTTCCTTCCTTGTTTCCGTCCTTTCTTCTTTCCTGTCTGTCTGCCTTTCTATGTAGCTTAGGTTGGTCTGGAACTGGCTGCGCCATCCAGGCTAGTTTTGAGTTGAAGATCTTCATACTTCAGCCACCCAAATGCTAGGATTACAGGCGTGCGCTGCCACACCTGCCTTAATAACAGCCTTCTTCACCCCCAGCCTGGAGCTCTCCACTTCCTTAGACCCCACCGCTCTAGTCCCCGCCCCAAATCCTGTCCGCATCGTAAGTGACTTGAGACAGGGTGCAAAGCCTGTACTGGAAGACTTTAGAAGCCTTGTGGTCATTGAGTGAGAACTGTGGTGTGGAGAGACTTGCTTCACGCGCACCCGGTGCTTCCAGCCACGCCGTTAGCCACAGCCCAGCTCCCTCACTAGAGCAATTCAGACTCGCTCTCAAGCCTTGTCTAGACACCTCGCTCTTGAGGCGCTTCGGAGGCACGTTGGCATCGGAGGGATTTGGTGCCTGCTCCCCCCAGTCCTCTTCCCGTGTGTTTTAATCTCGGAACTCCTGCCTCTCACCCTTCTTCTTCCTAAACTGTTCGCTCCGCACACGCCGCTGCACGCTGGAGCAGGGCTTGGGCCTGAGGCCCTCTTCTGGCTTTAGCCGGATCAGCGTAACTCCTCTGGATGCAGAGAAACCCACTGTCCTTTCCCATAGGAGAACTCTCCTGCATCATGAGTCGATGGCTCTCTGTCAGAGTTCCTGCCCACAGCTGTGTCTGGGCCTCAGGAAGCACCACTATGCAGAGCAAAGCACTCCCAGTATGTGCCATAAGGCTCTAAGACCCTGTGTGGGGGAGGGCCGTGATGGCGGGGAAGGGGAGGAGGCTCAAAGCTGCCCCCCCGCTCCCCTTGGCTTGCAGAAAGCAACGACGGTGGGCGGGGTGGATCGGCTGACAGACACCAGCAAGTACACCGGAACCCACAAGGAGCGCTTTGATGAGAGCGGCAAGGGTAAGGGCATCGAGGGACGGGAGGACACCGCCAACAACTCTGGCTACGTGAGCGGCTACAAAGGGGCTGGCACCTACGACCGAAAAACCAAGTAGAGGAGAGCCGTCTCCGCCTGCTGGTGTCCTGACCCTGTGGTGTGAACACCAGGAAATGTAGGGGATAATAAACTTTGTGTGTGCAGCACCTAGTGAGTTCCGTCTCGTGACTATGAGGACCGGAGTGGTCCACAGGCAGAGGAGCTCCGGGAGGGGAGAAAGCCCAAGGAGCCAGGGTCTTCAGCCAGGGACCCTTTGCCCTCCTAAGCGTCGCGCATGGTAGTAGTCATAATGTAGGAGTCTCCTTGGCAACTGCTCCTGAGACCAGGGCTGGAGAATATCTCCAAATGTAGTCCCCATTTGGAGATAGTTAAATCAGATGCAGAAGAAAAAAACAGCCGCTAACTGTGTTTGCACAACAGTGGTCCCCATTCCTTCTATCTCCCCAAAGGGGGTCATAGTTCTTCATGACCCAGACAATCACTTAGTATTGTGTCTCCCAACTTTAACTTAGAGTCCAAGTTTTGTTGGGAGATAAAAACCAGGAAGGGAAGCCCTGGAAGCCCAACACAGTTACAGATCACAAATCTATTTTACAAATCTATTTTCCAGCTCTATTTTTGATTGGTTGGTTGGTTTTACTTTTGAGTCAGGGGTCTCACTGTGAAGCCCTGGCTAGCTTGGAGGCCTAGAACTCTAGGTCAGGCTGGCCTTGAACTCAGAGACAACTGCTGGAACTGAAGGTCTCCACCTTTCCCCACCTCCATCCTTATGCCCACAGAACAGAAGAGAAGAGAAATCTGCTAAGAGTAGTTCTGAAGGATAGTCAACGATGCGTGACCCCAAAAGCTGGGGAGGGAATTAAATGACAATTGAGTTGGACGGTTTTGGACGGTTTTTACTTTGCGAATTACTATAGATCCACAAGAAGTCAATACAGAACCTTTTGCCCAGTTTCCCCCCAATGGTTTTTACACTTCCCACTACTGGAAATTGGGCCTGCCTCATCATCTGCCACCTGAGCGGCTCAGGCCCTGGAGTCTGGGAAATGGGGGGTAGAGATGGGAGGGGAAAGGGGGACCGAGGGACCTTGGAAGGAACAAGGAAGATAACTTGAAATACCAGTGTGCCTCGGAGGCGAGAAGAATGGGAGACAGGATGGGAAAAGGTAGGCAGCTTGGCTCCGAGTGGTCGGGAGAGTAGGGGAAAGCAGCACCAGACTCCATGGTGGGGAAGTGGAAGGGAAAATCACTGGGGTGCAGGCTGGAGGCAGGGGGCTGAGTGGGGGGGATGAGGCAACATGGGCCTGAGGGTCGCAGGGAGGTCCCTTTTTGCGGAAGAGTGGCAGGAATTATAAGGGAACTTGGGGAGACCGACACTAAAATCAGGGAGAAATCCTGGAACTGGGTGCCTGTTGCCATGGCGCGAGCTGGGGCCTGGGCCTCCATCCAGACGTCGGGATCTGGCCCAGCAGATAGACAAGCCCTGCCAGCTGGACGCCGTCAGCTTCTTGGGTGGGTTTTACTGTCGCTGGGAGAGCGAAGCTCGTGGTGGGGGTGATGAGAAGGTGAAAAGAGCCTGACGGAGGGCGGGGCTCCGCCGCAGAAGCCGGATTCTGACTTTGGGAACAGGCTTTGGGGCGGGGTGGCGTGTAACATGTTGGGATTGGTTTGCCGGCTAAGCCCCTAGTAGAGGCCGATGATCCCGATCGGCTCGGCATTATGCTTGCTGGAGCAGAGCAGGTACAGCCTCTGGTTGGTCAGCGTGCTGTTGTAGCTGCAGCTGGTTGGTGGCTGTTTAGAGCCCCGGGTGCAGACTGTGATGGGGAAAGAGCTCTGAGTGAGGGTACAGTACTCGTTGTAGTTCTCGCAGAAGCTCTCGCTGTACTTGCAGAACTTGCGGATGCCTTCCCAGGGGGCATGCACCACATAGTGGACTTTAGGGCAGTACCAATCCTGCAGCCTGCCCCTCACGTAGGCCATGAGGCCGTTACAGTACCCGAGGAAGCCCTTCGGGTATCTGACCATGGGGTAGTCGACGTGTAAGGTGCGGAAGTTCTTGATGGCGATCTCCATCTTGATGCCTGTCACCAGGCTTGGCCGTAAGACGAGCTGGAGGACGAGGAGCCAGGTCACGACTGGTGTCATGCCTTCTGCTGGCAGGGGTGAGGCGATGAGAGACACCCAAAGAGACTGTCCCCGTTCCCCAAGCCTCCAGCATGCTCCACTTTCCCTGTGTGCCTCCCTTATTCCCTCTAGGAAGCGCCCAGGGCCTTACAAACCCTAACACTCCAGAGAGATGAGGCACTTGCTCAAGGCCAGCTGTCTCCAGCCAACCCTCCTCTGCAGTGGTTCACCACCCTGTCTTAGTCTTACCCAGTCCTTGGGCTGCAGCAGGGAATCAAAGGTCCAGCTGGTCCCTGGGTGAGAGATGCCTCTGGATGCTCCCAGTTCCTGGTACCTCTTATGGTAAACACAGAAGGAATAAGAGAGAGCAGGCAGCTGGGCCAGTCCCTGGCAGCTCTGGCAGGAAGAACCTGAAGTCAGAGGGGGGAGTGGGAGGCAGGGATGCCTCTAGCCTAAGGCTACTTACAGCCTAGAGGTGGGATGAGGCTTAAAGGGTTTCTGGATAGAGCGTATGGAAGGAGGGAGCATCCCCTGGGCTTGAGAAGCCCTGTGATAAGGGGGCTTGATGGGTAGGAGGAAAGATACATTGCTGTCTGGTCTGCTCTCCGGTATCCTCAGAACACTTCGTTCCAACCTCCTGGCCAGAAGCCCCCAGTGAGTCCGTGGGCCCTCTTTGATGTCTGCTCTGGCCCACTGGTCCTGCTTTCAGGGACGTGGGAAGGAAGGAGCCATCTTGTCACTGAAGAACAAAGTTGTTTACCTTTGATCAAGGGTTCACCTCTGTCTCATCCCACTTCCCAGCCCCTGGGGCCATGTGCATAGACACCTTCCACCAAAAGGACAGGCTGCGAACAAAGAACCTCCTCAAGGGCTCCCCACAGTCCTCATCCCCAATGCCTGGCTGACTGTGCCAACACCCTGCACCTGTGGTGCGGCTCGAGGCTTGCCAGTTCAGGGCCCTGCTAGAAGTCTCCGCATGCAGCCTTTGGAGCCTCAAGGTTGCCTGGTTGGCTCTGATAGCGTTGCCTGGGACTTGAGAGAATGTGAACCACCTGGCCAGATCAGATTCTTCGTATTGGCTGGTCCGCGGTAGCTTGTCCGGCTATGGAAAGGGCTAACAAGTTCCTCAGCTTTTTATCAAATGTCTGGATCTTCATCAAAGTCAACAAGGAGCCTGCTAGCTCCAGCCCTCGCCTCCCTCGGGCCTTTCAGGCCCCCTCCTGTAGGTCTTCTCCACATTTGCATATCTGGGGGCTTCCTTTGGTGACAGGGGTCTCACTGTGTAGCCCAGGCTGGCCTCAAATTGGTTATCCTCCTGTCTCAGTCTCTTGAGTGCTGGAAACACAGGCGTGCATCACCCCGCCCAGCTCCTTGGGCTTCCTCTTAGAAGCTATTCACCTTCAGCAGCAGACAAGGGAGTCAGGAGGCTGAGCGTCGGGTTCTCTGGGGCTCACGGCGGAGCTCAGGGGAAGGAGGAGCTGGTCTCAGAGAGAGACACATTAGTGTTCTCTCTGCGGTCGGTCCTTCATTTGCGGCCTCCTCTGGACCTGCTCTTTCTGGCTTGCACAAACGAGAGCCCAAAATTCAATCTATTCTCCTCAAACTTAGTTCGCTGTGTCTTTGTTTTCCTGTTGCTATGGTAAGAAGCTGTCACAAGAGCCGCTTCAGAGAGCAGGGTTTATTCCAGTTCATATATCAAGGAGAGCCCAGTGGGGGTGGGGAAGTCAAGGCAGTGGGGTCTTGAAGCAGCTGGTCATATAGAACCCAGTCAGGATGCAGATATGAATGAGCGCAAGCTGCGGCTCAGCTCCCTTTCTGCATTCATACAGCCCAGCATCCCAGTCAGAAAACAGTGCTGCCAAAAGCCACTGGGTTTCTCCACCTCAGTTACTGGGGTCAGGATTGTGCCCCAAAGGCATGCACAGAATCTCACCTCCCAGGTGATTCCACAGTCTATCAAGTTGATATTAGCACTAATGCTTATAGTCCGGTACATGCCTCCTCGTTTTTTTACCATCATGCCTTGTGGTTGATAGTTAGGGGGACAGAGGAGCCTATCACAAGGCATGATGGTAAAATCATCAAGGCTCAGGTCCTGGCTCCATAGTTTAGGTGGCACGTGCTATATCACTTGAGTTCACCAAGCTTCTGCCTCGTCTGTTCGTAAGGATAGGATGTTATACCTCATAGTGGTGTTAGAACTCATTACTTGTCAATCAAGAGCTTTGGCCCAGCGCCTGGCTCACGGCGACTCCTCAGTATACACACGAATCCATAAGCCACGCAGCCCTCAGAGTCTTATTTAAAACTCCCCTCCCCTGCATATCTCCTTCCCACCTCAGCCTCCCTTTTCCCCCTCACACACTCAACTCCACTAAGTCTCAAGTGTCTTTCATTCGACTTGAGAAAGAAATGGGTTCCCACAGGGCTGGAGAGAGGGCTCAATGGTTAAGAGCACCGGCGGCTCTCCCAGAAGACCCAAGTCAGTTCTCAGCACTCACATAACCTGTAACTTCACAACCACCTGTAAATTCAGCTCCAGGGCATCTGATACACTCTTCTGACCTCTCTGGACTCGTACACATTAGAAAAAAAAACGTCTTTCCCGAGTATACACACGGACTTTGGACTCCCATCCAACAGTGTGAGATGCACTCTCACCCTGAACTCTTGGGGAAGGGTCTAGGCCCTGCCTTATATGAAATGACAGACTATGGACACCTCCATGGAGGGCCTCACCCTCCCTGGGGAAATGAGGGGATAATGGGGGGGGTTAGGGGGAGGGCACGGGAGGAGGGGAGGGAAAGGGAGAGGGACCTGGAACTGACTTGTGAAGCAACCTTGTTTCTTATCTATATTTAAACTGAAAAATAAATTTAAAAAAAGTCTTAAAATTCCCTGTCTTGCTTAATCCTTTACAACAGTTCCGTGTTTCTTACAATGTATAACCCAGTCAGCGTCTCACAGGATACAAGATGGCCATGCTCTTGTCCATGTCGGCATTTGCATTTACATCCCTGTCAGTGTCCCAGCTGGTACTGAATCCCACACCCTCGCCCCTGTGTTGTCCCCTCTGCTCAGAATGCCCCCGATGCTTCCCGTCCCCGCTTGCCCCATTCACTCCATAACTAGTTCACACGGGGACAGCCTGAGGTTGTCTCCTTACAGAAGACCTCCCCTGAGGACTGTGCACACTCCAGACTACTGAGGATGAAGCCGGTAGAGGCAAGTGGCTGTCCTTCAGGCTGCAAGTCAGTGCCTATGCCCGGCTGACTGAAACTGTGCTTAAGGCTGCCAACCACCAAGTCTGTGATTCCAACTTCAGTCACGCCGTCTCACCCCAACGCCCTCCAGGCTGCAGCTGGAGCTTTTTATTGCTCCTTTCGTTTGCCCCCCCCCACACTACTCACCCGGCCACAAGATTCCAAAACCTAAGAGGGCATTGTAGAGGAAGAGGTTCACTTGCTGGCTCTGGTCTCATCTTCTGTAAGGTAACGCCTTCCTTAGTTCAGAGGGCTGTGAGAATAATGTTACAATAAGCATGAAAGGAAGGCCTTGTAATTCTTTTGTTAAATAGGTAACTGGAAACATGCTTCCTAGGTTCTACATTAATTCGGTTTTTTCATTTTCAGAGCCTCGTTTATTCCCTAAGCAGACCTAATGACAAGTCTACACCCCTGTGCCACCAACCCAGAATCCCCTCTAAACGAAGCCTCTGGGGCTCATCTCCACAAAGTCTCCAATGATTACTATGACAGAATTTTAAAAAATGTTTTATTCTTTGAAGATTTCAAACATGTATTTAGGCCACACTGACCCCCAGCCCCCCGCAACTTCCCCCCAGACTGCCTTGCCTTGCTCCCAACTCAACAGCATGTCAATCTGCTAAGTCCAACTAGTGCCCCTCATGCATGGATGTAGGGACATCTAGGAGCATGGGCACACTACCAGGGGCTAGCTACACCCTTGCCGAAAACTGACTGTCCCCTAGCAACCATCGACTGCCAGTAGCCCGTCGGTAAGGGATGGGGCTGGTGAGCTTCTCCATCGTGCTGAAAGTTTGGCTGACTCGATCGTGCGTAGGCAGCCTCAGCCGCTGTGCAACAGTCCCGTCCCAGGCAGAAGACTGAGTTCCACAGCACTCCTCCCCCGGCCGCTGGCCCTTATATCTACTCCCTCTCCCTTGATGGTCCCTGAGCCTTGCAGGGAGGAGGGTGTGACACAGATGGAGGATTTAGGGCTGAGCTTCGCACACTCACATCCCCCTGCGCTTTTGATCAGCTGTGATTCCGCAATTAACCGTCACTCCGGGCAAAGGGGGAGATTCTCTGATGAGACCTGAGAGCTGCACTAATATCACGTTCGCATGTACACGTCTTTATATGCACCGTTAGACCCACAGTAAAGGCAGTTTGATAGGTCCATTTAGTGAAATTAGTAGCAGGTTCTCCCCTGGGGTCTGTGACACCCTCCCCCCCCGGCCATTGGTTCCTGGCCAGGTTTATAGTTACAGGCATGAGTTCTATCCTCTGGAGCAGGCCTTAAGTATAATCAGAAAGCTGTTGGTTACCCCCTAGTATTCATGTTATTGTTGCACCACTGGGCATATCTCGCCAGGCTCTGCTCATTATTGTTGCGTGTGGGGGTCCACAGCTGGGTAAGACCGTTGATGGTTTGTCTTCCCCCTCTCCCGCAGGCTTTCCAGCACTTTCTCCAGCACTGAAAAAGCTAGCCAGTAGGATTGGATTTTGCAGGTTAGTACTGGCTTGATTTCTCCACGTTCTATGATGCAGGCATGTGGTATCTTCAGCAGTAAGGTCTTACCTCCAAGTTCCAGAGGGGAACCAGTGGCAATGGCACTATCCTGTAGCGTTTGGGGGGATCTGCCCTGTCACCTCAGCCTCCTGAGTGCTAGGAATACGCTGCGCCACACACGGTGCTTATGTTCATGGCATTCTGCTATGTTTTGTGCAAGGTGCAGTAGAACCACGGTTAATGGATGAATCTAGTCTCCTGATGACCGACAGTCTAAGCGGAAAACAATAAATATGTATGGAAAGATAACCAAAGAGTCCAGACAGAAAATTGTGTTTATTAATTTATTATTATTATTATTGATTCTTTAAGACGTTGTCTCTCTGTTATGTAGCCCTGACTGTCCTGGAACTCATTATGTAAATCAAGTTGTCCTGGAACTCACAGAGATTCACCTACCTCTGCCCCCTAAGTGCTGGGATTAAAGGCCTGCGCCACTACACTGGGCATAATTTGTAAGCAGATTTTCTCTGTCCTGCCAGCCAGCTCCCAAATCAGAACACGGAGACTTACTATTAATTATGAAGGCTTGACTGGTAGCTTAGGCTTGTCTTTGGCTAGCTCTTACAACTCAAATTAACCCATTTCTCTTCCTCCATGTGCTGCTCCAAGGCTCATTTGTCCCGTCTCCATACCGTCCATCAGGCTTTCCCGCTTCCTCTGTGTCTCCACCCAACTCAACCCTTTTCTTCCCAGCATCCTCTCTGCCCTGAAAACCCTGCCGCCCAGCTCTTTAGTAAGCCAACCCAAGTGACACATCTTCACAGTGTACAAACAGATTATTCCACAACCATGATTTCTTTTTCAAGGTTTGTGTTTAAATCATAAGTAGGTGTGTAAATGTGTCACTTGGGTTGGCACGGAGGTGTGTGCACATGTGTACAGGTTTCTGTGGAGGCCAGAGCATAGAATACCCGGGAGCTGGGTTACAGACAGTTGTGAGTCACCAGATGTGTGTGCTACAAGCTGAACTCAGGTCCTCTGGAAGAGTAGCAAGTGCTCTTTTTTTAAGTTTATTTATTTATTATGATATTATAATATGATAAATAATATTATTATTATTTATTCTGCCTCCATGTATGTCTGCACGCCAGAAGAGGGCACCAGATCTCATTATGGATGGTTGTGAACCACCATGTGGTTGCTGGGAATTGAACTCAGGACCTCTGGAAAAGCAGTCAGTGCTCTTAACCTCTGAGCCATCTCTCCAGCCGCTCTTTTTTTTTTCTTCTGGTTTTCTGAGACAAGGTTTCTCTATATAACAGTCCTGGCTATGCCGGAACTCACTCTGTAAACCAGGCTGGTCTTGAACTCACAGAGCTCCTCCTGCCTCTACCTCCCCAGTCCTGGGAATAAAGGTGTGCGCCGCCACCCAAAGTTCTCTTAACTGCTAAGCCATCTCTCTGCCACCCCCCAATCATATTTCTTGGAAGACAGTGAGTATTGCAGGAACGCAGAGATGAAAGTTCAGTTGGCAGAGTGTTCAAGGCTGAGGCTTGATCCTGAGCACCGGCTGCAGAGGGACACACCTGAAATCCCCATACTACGGAGACTAGGGAGGTGGAGGCAGGAAGATCAGGAGTTCAAGGACCATCCTCAGCTACACTGCAAGTTTCAAACCAGCCTGGGTCGCATTAAACTCTGTCCCCCCACTCTCCTACAAAAACAAAACAAACAAACAACTCTCGGAATTGGGAGAATCTGAAAAAATTTTCCTGAGGAGGAAGGTGGTTATTCTAAGACCCTGGAACCAGTCTCCCTGGGCAGTTAGAAGTTAAGTAGCATGAAAAAAGATTATGAAAATCATGTCTACCCATAAGACAAAGTTAGAAAGGCAGGCCTGCCAGGCAGTGCAGGCTTGAGTGTGTGGACTAAGGAACTAATTCTGGCTGTAACTCAGGAGTGCTTCACTAAGGGGCTGAGGGCACAGATAACCTGATAACCTCACCCTAAGACCAGGCCCCTCTCCCCTACGGCCTAGCTTGTCTAAAGGTCTGGGAGCCAAGGATTCTAACCTTCGGTCAGGGCTGCCTCCTCCAAATCCACAGCTGTTCCAGGAAAGGTCATGGGAATCCAAAGGCCTGAAGAGAGCCCCGCAGCTGACCCTAACGTTGGAGTATGTTTCACTTTCTCCAAATATAAAAATGTGCCTGTTACCCTTATTTATCCAAGGTCTACATCAGGCTGACAGGACTTGGATCCGCTCCTGTCTGGAGGGAAACGCTCTCCCATGGGCTTTCCTTTGGTATCTAGAGGCTGTGGGCTGTGTGGAACTCCGGAAGCAAGGTTTGGCTCTGAAGGGTAGGCACTAATCCAGGTCCAGCCTCTCTGTCTCCCTGCCCGCCCCCTTGCTCCCTCCCACCGCAGGCTCGAGGAAGCAGCAGCTGTTGTCCTGTGGGAACACAGGCAGCGATCCACCTGGCACTGCTGGGATTTCCGTAAGACCCACCCTAAGTTTTAACCACACACACACACACACACACACACACACACACACACACACACACACAGAAAGAAGTTGGGCCAACAGCAG